TAATCATTTTTTTTTCAAAGTTGAAATCAATTCTGACTCAGCATCTCCACTACCAACTTCTCAACCTCTACTTTACCACCAGTTGACCTCTACTCTGCACCATGGATGAGATGCCAACTTTTGATATTGTTTGCTATGCCAAGAAACTCCACAGTCTTCTCATTGCCCATGATAAAGCTGCAAAGCAGGTTCACTTCTTAGGTAACTATAATCATTTAAAAAATAAATTTTCCAATATTATTTTTCAAGTCACAAATAATAATATATTGCTTATTGTTTCTGTGCCATGCCCTGTAAAACTGATTTCATGCATAGATACACATTTTATTGTTCATGATTTTAGTTCTAAATCCCAATGGCTACTGTGATGAGATCCTCTGAACATATATGGTGTACAATAAAAAATTTCAATTCCAGATGACCAGTTGATCCGCCTTGACCGCCAGGTCTTTCTATCTACACTGGATGATGCTCACAGCCTAGTCCTCCACCTACTGACCCGTAAGTCCATCATCCAGGGTGTTCGCAAGATGTTTGACCAGTACCGATCTACCAAGCAATACCAGGTCCAGGAGTTATCTACCCTTATCCTCTCATCCCTAGGAGGAGAGATGGACTTGGAGATGCCAGTCACAGCAGGAATGAGTGAGGAAACAGATGAACTAGCAAGGATGTCTACAACCAACTACAGTGTTCTCTGGAGGGGTGTGTGATGTTGAACATTTATCTACTTAGAACTGCTTGCAAACTGAAATTACTGTGGTATTACTCAAAAGTTTTATATCATCGTATATATCAAATTGTTACTTCATAATAATGTACAGTTTAATTGTCTAGGCAGTGCTCTATTGATTACATTGAATGCTAGTGATGTAAGGGTGTCTTTCTGTTTAAAATCTTTGATGCTTTTATATAAAAGTAACCCCAGAAATATCATGTATGTTAAGTAATTTTTCTTATTGTCGAAATATTTCTGTATTGTGTAACTGTTACTGTACATTTTTTGTAGAACTGTAGAACTTCTAATATTGAATAAACTGATATAAAATCACTTAATGAATGTCCTGAGGTTTTTCAGATCACAGATGCACCTTTAATAGTTTGTGATAGTGCTACAAATGTGTAATAAATGTCTAAACAATCATTGGATAATTGTTGTTGTTTATATATTTCATTTATTTATTTATGATGATAATTTTATTCTTTGTACATTGCCATATCATGCACTAGATGAAATATCTCAAAACTACACATGGATAAGAAAGCATCACTAAAATCTGGCCTATGAAATCTGATTATTTGTCTAAATACAAGACATACATATGTTTTTATAGACCATTTTCTCCTTTGTACCCAAAAGTAAACTAAACACCATTGGAACCAAGGAAAACAGAAGCATGCATGTTTTTGGAAAGGATTCCTACATTTCTTTCAAGAAATAAAGGCATAAAGCCTTTTCTGTCAAAATCCAAGTGATTTTATCTTATTGATGTCATAGTCCAAAAATTGCATTTTCACATGGGACAATCTATATATAATAAGAATGATCTCTAAAGCTCTTCTCAAGAAAAAGAGCATTTAGAGATGTTTTGAAGGATATCATAGGCAGTCAACAGGGCTAGGAGCATACATACCTTTACTGAAGTACCCTGCTTCTTATGTAACATTTTCATTATCAAAATAGTCACCACACCATCCTGATGTCTTTCAAACTTTTAAGGATATCATTTCCCTAAACCTTCACTAGGGCTTTTCCATTGACCCTGCAACCTCATTGGCTATATGCCTGGTCTTAGACAAAGGACAAACATCTGTCTGTCTTCACCATACATGGAACTTCACTTTTTTTGCATAAACAAACAAAATCAAAGAAAAAAATAGAATTAGAATCAGAAACTATAAACAAGAGGCCCCGAGGGCCTGTATCGCTCGTCTGGATCTTTATGACCAACAATACTATATCTTTGCATATGTTCTACAGTAGATGCTTAAAGCAATATAATAAATTACTCCATATGGAGGACCCATTTCAGAATAATACCACTATCCTAGATGTTCTGGATAATCAGAAAATGTCATTTAAAGGTTTAACACATTTGAAGATGGGTCAACGTCATTTCTTTTTTTAAACTTTGTTGGGCTTCATCAAAGGAATCTTCCATCCAAATATGATAACTACACCTTTCCGTATTTCAGAAGTTGTTTAAATGAAAACTTGACATACACAGGACGGACAGACGACAGACATTGCGCTTTGGCATAAGCTCACTTGGCACTTTGGGCCAGGTGAGCTAATAAAGGGGTAGTTAAGATATGGGGTACAGAGAGATGTTTTAGTTTGCCCTCTTTAAGTCGAAATCCTGGATCTGCCCCTGGTAGCCTTTAGATAACAAGTAAACAGTATCATATACCTGTTAATGGAGCAAAACCTGTCAAACAATCAACAGTCAAAATTTAACAAGGAAATTGAAAGAGAAGTTGTCAATAGCAATTTCCTGTAACTGTCACCCCTGGGAAAGATACAGAACCTTAAATTTTGAAACAAAATTTTAAAAAATTCGAGAATCAAGGATTTCAACAGTAAAACTGTAAAGGATCAGCAGATTCTGTGGACATGTCAACACAAAAAAAAATCTTTTGTAAGTACTGTCATTTAAACTAGTAGTCCTATCAGAGGTTATTCCAAAAGTTAAAGCAACTGCTTAAAATATCAGCCATTAAACTGTTACGCCTTCAGAATTGTGTTAAGATGTGTTGGAAGCATGTATAATGATTTATCTGAAACCAGATCTTATATTCATATGCAATTTCCACCATCACAAACTAGACCTGTAATCTCAATATACTAAAGATGGTATATAACCGATGACCAACTCTTGTTCATGTTTCTAAAATCTCATTGCATTCAATAAGTCCTTTTAGTGTAGAGAATGAGAATAGTAAAACCTACACCATAATTGCCAACCTACAGAGTGACCAAGCAAACAAATTCTATATCACTATGGTTATGAGGGTAGGGGAAGTGATCTAAACCAAACACATAGTTTGGAATAGAAACTGCCATAGTAATAAAGGTGTAAATGTCTCTTACAATATAATTCTTTACACTAGTGATGTTTTAACAAAATGTTACTCCACAAAATTGGTCAAAATACTTTGCATAAAGAAATGGACATACCGGTATTCTTGTCATCATAAATTGGTTAAAGTAATCCATACCTGAACAGGATTCTTTAGATTTTACCTCCATTACCACCTCTCACCTAATTCCCTGTACAGTAACACCAAGCCATACCTGGACAAGACACCTTTGATCTTACCTCTATTACCACCTCTCATCTACTTACCTGTACAGTAACACCAAGCCATACCTGTACAAGAGACCTTTGATCTTTACTCCATTACCACCTCTAATCTAAGTACCTGTACAGTAACACCAAGCCCTACCTGGACAAGAGACCTTTGATCTTACCTCCATTACCACCTCTCATCTAATTACCTGAACAGTAACACCGATCCATACTTGGACAAGACACCTAAAATCTTTTTGCCATTACTATCTCTATTGGAATTACATTTACTTTTCCTATTTCTTTACTTTTCAACTTCAAATAGCATATAAGATACAATATGCATATAGGTAAATATTTCATTCAATGATCATAAGATGGTGGAGAACATAACATTTATCAACATGCAAAAGAAAACATATAATGGTCAGTGAAACATTTACACAGTTGATATTTAAGACATATTTTCATTTAGACGTAGCTTGTAATAAATACTTATTTAAGGTTTCTCATCTATGCATGAGAATAATTAAGTAAATTTGAATTCAGATGGAAGACAGAAATACCAGGGTTTGATATATTTTGTTTGGAGGTCTTAGTAGACTGGGTATGACAAAATGAAATGAGTTTCATCTTGATATCATCACTTATTGCATAGGGGACATTGTCGTTGAGACTGTCTAATGCCTTTATATCTGACTGTTTCTATACTTTAATACACAGTATGATAACCTATACTTAGTTATGATAAATTCATATTTATATGTTAAAGATTAGGTGAGATACAATTTCAAGTTGGAATAATCTACAATGTTTTTATACCGCGACATTTACCAGAATTTTGTTGGTTGTTCTCAATTCTTGAATACAACCATCTTGTACACATTGTATAGTAACACCAAGCCATACCTGGACAAGAGACTTTTGATCTTACCTACATTACCACCTCTAATCTAATTACCTGTACAGTAACACCAAGCCATACCTGGACAAGAGACCTTTGACCTTACCTCCATTACCACCTCTAATCTAATTACCTGTACAGTAACACCAAGCCATACCCGGACAAGAGACCTTTGACCTTACCTCCATTACCACCTCTAATCTAAGTACCGGTACAGTAACACCAAGCCATACATGGACAAGACACCTTTGATCTTACCAATAATACCATGTTTAATCTACTTATCTGTACAGTAACACCAAGCCATACCTGGACAAGACACCTTTGATCCTCACTCCAATATCACCTCTGACGTTCATACCTGAACAGTAACACCAAGCCATCCATGGACAAGAGACCTTTGATCTTACCTGCATTACTACCTCTAATCTAATTACCTGTACAGTAACACCAAGCCATACCTGGACAAGAGACCTTTGATCTGACCTACATTACCACCTCTGACCTCATTACCTGTACCGTAACACCAAGCCATGCCTGGACAAGAGACCTTTGATCTTATCAGAAGTGAACACTTCTAACACATACATTCCTTTAAGACATCATGAAAAGCTTGTTTTTGCATTCAAGTGTAGGTGGAGTCCATTCTAAGCAACCAATCAAGTAACCAATTGAAGCAACCAATCACAAGTAAGCAGAGTCTATATAATCATTTTTTTTCTAAGTTGAAATCAATATTGCCTTAGCATCATCACTACCAACTTCTCAACATCTACTTTACCACCAGTTGACCTCTACTCTGCACCATGGCTGAGTTGCCAACACCTGACATTGTTTGCTATGCCAAGAAACTCCACAGTCTTCTAATTGCCCATGATAGAGCTGCCAAGCAGGTTCACTTCTTAGGTAACTATAATCATTTAAAATATAAATTTTTCACTAGTTTTTTTTTCAAGTCATAAATCAAAAAGAATAAATAGCTTATTGTTAAAATAATCATTTTGCCATACCCTGAAAAACTCATTTCATGCATAGATACACATTTTCTTCAGTTCAAATCCCAATGGCTACTGTGTATCAGGAGAATGGATAAATATAATTATATATGACAGTTTTGATCCTCTGGACATAAATAGTGTACAATAAATTTTTTTTTCATTCCAGATGACCAATTGATCCGCCTTGACCGCCAGGTCTTTCTATCTACAATAGACGATGCCCACAGCCTAGTCCTCCACCTACTGACCCGTAAGTCCATCATCCAGGGTGTTCGCAAGATGTTTGACCAGTACAGATCTACCAAGCAATACCAGGTCCAGGAGTTATCTGCCCTTATCCTCTCATCCCTGGGAGGAGAGATGGACTTGGAGATGCCAGTCACAGCAGGAATGAGTGTGGAAACGGATGAACTAGCAAGGATGTCTACAACCAACTACAGTGTTCTCTGGAGGGGTGTTTAATATTCTGATTCTCAATTTTTTGTTTAAAATTTAGTGCTCTTTCACAGCCATACATATCTCATTTTTAGAAAATATTTTTTTACAGTAAATATCATGTTTTGCTTTATTTTGTACTAAAATATGTCTTATGCTTTGTTTTATTATGTAATAATAAATATATTATGCTCTGCCTTTTTTTGTAATGAGTAAATGTCTTACTCTGTCACCTTTTGTAGTAGTATTTATTTATTCTTTGTTATATTTTGTAATAATAAATGTCTTATGTTTTGCCTATGTTATGTAATAATTTGCAATAATACAGTGCTTATGTATTGCAATAACACATTCTTATGTATTGCTATGTTTGGTAATAATAAATGTCTTATGTTTTGCAATGTTTTGTAATAAAACATTCTTGTGTTTTGCAATGTTTTGTAATAATACATTCTTGTGTTTTGATATATTTGTAATAGTACACATGCTCATGATTTTTTTTGTTGTGTAAAAAATGATTTTGTTATTGTTTATTGTACAAATCTGTTTCATAACAGCTTTTTTGGTATGCATATATCTAGCAGATGTTATAATGTACATGTTAGTAATTCTACATCTATTGCATTTTCAGCCAAGTATTTCCTGTAAAACTTCTGTGATTTTGCATTCACTATTGTAAAACTTATAGTAAACTGTTGTAAAATGCTAAATATTGAAAAAATCCTTGACTGATGAAGCGAATCCTTGGTGGGAATTCACAAAATTTGTAGTGCTCTTCTTTAATAGTCATTATGTTTTCATTTCAGATGAGCTTATATGTAATGCAGGCACTTTTGTTGTAATAAATTTGATATGATGATTATTCTTATAATATTGTTGTTCTATTATCACGTGTCATTTCATGTGTTGTATTAGTCACAAAGATTGTTTCAGGATTTCAAACTAGATCTGATATTTTAGATAATATATCCTGGTACCTAGTCTATATATTAATATAGCACTGCCCATGTGATTTCCTAAATACTCACTTCAAACATAGCACTTCAACTTTATCAAACAGTATTGTATTGAATATTTATTTCAATAACATAGGTCATTTGGAACACTTGCTGCTGCATCTAATTTCAAAGGTGATAAAAACTGAAGCAACATAAAAAATGAAGAAATAAGTTAGAATCATTCTTATTCTGTTTTTATCACCGAGGCGACACGGATGAACATGGAACATATTCCTATAGCTAGTAATATTCCTGGTGGATTTTGTTTGATTTCATTTTTGGAAACAAAACGAAAACATGTTTGTGACCCAAAAACCTCATACATTAAATGTTATAAGCTTGCATACTATGATAGAAAAGTGTAAACTGGCCAAAACAATGACAAATGGTAAACTGACTGGGATATATCAAATCAAATCCTGATTCACTGGAATACATGTTACACCTTTAATGCTTTTTGATTTCATCCGAATGGTTACACTAATGATTACAGCCAAATTTAACACATAATGACATGATGGAAAAGCAATAATTTTCAGTTCTGTATAACATTTCATGGTCAACAGTTCACTGTAGAAAACATCAATAAACGTTCCAAGTTTGAAATTTTTTTCTGTTACAATTGAATTCAGTTGAGGCAAGAAATACCCCCTCATCCAACCTCACCTCCTTTTTCACGAGGAGATGGGAACCTGGGATACCTGGATTACTAATCTGACGCTTACCCGATCAAGCTAAAGAGAAGTTCTCTCTAGCCAAGCAGTATATTGCTTGCTAGTATTTAAGCAGGATTACATTATCTCCTCATATCATCATCTTATCATCTGTCTCTGTGAGTTGATAACTTATATGAAGTTGTAGCTGGTACCAGTCATCCTGGATATCAATGGATATCACAAAGAACCGATTGGATTCACATCCTGTTTATTACAACTATTTGGCTGAAAAATCTGAAAATGCTGTATAAAATACAATAATGGTATTGTCCTGTTTTCTGACTTTATAAAGATACTTGATATCTAATTTTCTCCCTCACGTAAAAACATTCTGAAAAAGAATAACCCCATGACAAAGGTATCAACACATAACCATGTTACCAATAGATCAATAATATAATAATGGTAGTAGGCACCTACAGCCTAAATCATCAGCTTTAGGGTCAGGATTTCTATCAGCATCTTACGCTGTAGTATTGTATCCATGCAAATTGAATATTTGGTGATAAACCCATGCACCAATAATAGCCATAACAGAAAAACAATACCATCCCCTCAGAAAAAAGACCTCCAAGTAGTATGAATGGGATGACAATACCCATAACTCTTTTCACTGTCATGATATGGTGTAAATGTCATGTTTCTCTCCAAATTATGTCAGTGCCAATCCATACACTGTATTCAAATTACAATCTTACAATGCATACACATACAGATATTAATCATGCTTCAAATGTGTAATACTATATGGATTGTCATAAGCACCTCTATCCCCTAATTCAGTACCTCTGTAACATGATGATCAAATCAAACATTAAGCTTTAAATAGTTAGTGATCAATTTTGGAATCTTTTCTAGGGCACTAACGGTATTACCAACTCACCTGATTTTGTCAGATCAACCTGATGTTGCTCATAGAGTTGACAAGCTCAAATATGGGAAAAAAATGCAAAAATCACCGCATATTTCTAGATTTTTGTTCAAGATTTTAAAATTCCAAATTTTTGGATTAACTATTGTGAAAATGTTCAAACATGAGATAGAACCTCTCCTGAACACTATACAACTATACAATAGAATTGATTATACCATCTTTTTCCATGATGACCCTTTCATGCAACCTGTTACTCTGGATTTGTGGGCTTTGTCCAAATATCAGATGTCTAGAGGTTGGCGCCACTTCAGTGACTAGTTATGATAGATATAATACTTAAACAGCATTTACCTGATATCAAACTTTCTGTCGCCTTTCAGCAGGTAAGGTTTTTCTATATATCTCTGGACGATGAATCCTTGTGTCTGTGTATCTACAAACTGTATCAGCTCCTCAGGATTACTTGATATCATGATTCCTTCTCCTAAAACAGAGGAAACACAGAATACAAAGACTTCTCTCAGGATTACCATGTAGTATCAACAACCTGAAAAATATATCATGTGTAAGCATAACTTTTTTCATTGATGTAAGTGAAATATCATATAAATGTCATGACGATGATGAGAAGGAGGATGACATAATGGTGATAAGACAATGACATTAATGACAACAACAATGATATCAAGGATGATGTGCATGAAGCTTGCAAGGTTGTTTCTTGAATTTTTGTTTTGCATGTATGAAAATGTTTATGATAAATAAAGTAAATAAAAGAAAAAAATAAATGTCATAATAAATAGGTGTTCTGCAGAAAGAATAATGCAGGCTGTCGATATCAGTACTTTCTTTATCTACTGTAAACACATATCAACCTTGGATGTTGAGAGGCAAACAAATATGCACATCAAGCATGTCATTTATTGAAAAGTATGGATCAGCGTTTCAGTCAATAACATATTTGATGTGAATGTTTGCTTGCCCCTCGACAGCCAGGGTGATTTTTCGACAGGGCATCCTTGAAGTAGCTGGTGACTACTCCACTGAGCAACATACAGGAGAACCATAACATTTCATCCTGAGCCATTAGGGTAAAGTGTCTTGCCAAAGGACAAATCAATATTTCAACAACATTTCAGTTTCCTGAGAAAAATAAACCACTAGAGTCAAATCACTTACCATAGATCTTAACATGATCTTAAGTCTAATTATTTACCAATTGACCTATATCAGTGCCCGGTCCTTTGATTTGAAATTTCACATCTGTTTAAACATCTAGAAGGTCTTATTCCACACGAGGAAGTTACAGTACAAGCTAATGAGATCACATGTTTCCTGTGATTGTATCTCCTGTAAAGTATTCCAAAGTTTTGCTATTTACATCCCAATATGACGTCATTAGTACAATCTGTTAACTGGAAGGCATTTTAAATGGCTAATACTTCCTAAGCAAATAAAACATCAGTACCTTTTGAGCCCGCTGAAGATTTTGCTATCCATATAACAGGTTTTGCCTCTTGTTTTGCCAGTTTTTCAGCTGCTTTTATAAAGTCTTCCCTCTCATCAGGTTTGGGTGACTTGCGTAGTAATACAGCTCCATGTTCACCTGCTTTCTGCAAGTTTTTTGTAATATCTTTTGGACAAAGTATAAAGGACTCTGGTAACCATTTAGGAGCTGGCTTTGCAGTGGATTTGTAGAAATCCTTGAATAATCTAAAAGAAAAAGAAAAACAACACATTGATTCATAAATGTTAGTTAACTTTAGAAAAATGAAGTAAAACAAATGAAATTATCTAAATATGGTATCTACAATTTGTGTCACTAAGTTAATAAAATGAAAACATTTAAAATAATAAAAAAAAAAAAAAAAAATTGTCTGTCATAACAAGTCAGTAACCAGGCCAGACCAGACCATGTCTTTAGAATAATTAATTTACCTGTTACTGGTATAAAGAATTGATCATTGATGACACCAATATGAGGTCCTTGTTTGTCATAACTAAGTATGACATGTTTGAAGACATGGATATGTAGGTTAAGGCTACATATTTGGTTTTCAATAAGGTAGATCATTTTGATTTCATATTCTATGTAACAGTTACTTTGTACCTGACCATAGCTGTCTTCCTACAGAGAATGTCTGACCCTCTGTAGTAGTTAACCAGTTGTACCAATCCGGGGTCATGTCCTGGAAGATACAAATTTACATTTTTCACGCTGCATATGGAGTTTACTTAAGGATGTATGTAACCTTCTTTTTATATGATTTTCCTTTCTAAACTAGAATGCATGTCAAAAATATGTACATTGATATTTGAAAGAAATTTCTCAAGTCCACAAGCATACACAAATAAAAGTAGCTACAGAATTTAAAAAAATCTATGCAGGAAATACTGATTTGGAAGGTCCTAAATTTTGGAATTACATGTAGAATTCCCATATTAAAAGAGAAATTGAAGAAAGATTTTCTTCTGCTAAGAACTAGATCTAAAAGAGATTTTGAACTCATTTGGTAGAATACTTCAAGTGTTTGTCTATTCAGCCAGAGGTCTTGGGGGTTTGATTCAGAGTGAATGCAGTGAAAAATAATTACCTTTGTTACACAACTCATATATCTGTTCAAATAAATAAAGTTAATACTGAACACCTGTACAATTATGATTTTTACATATACCTAGTCTTCCGAATGGCAATTTATTCCTTTCTCCAAACATGAGTTGGAATGACGCTGAGTTGGCTGGCAACTTTCTCCAATCATCTGCTGAATTTTTCACAAGAAAATCTGAAACTGCTTTGTACACACTGCTCTTGACATCTCTTTTCACAAATCCATACATTATGATTCTGAAACATGAAAAATAATTTGAAAGATATACAAGTTCATACATTTTGAGCCATCTAACATTACTGTGTTTGGATTATACACAGGTACTAGCCTTGTTTGGCAATACATCATGGCCATGAATGTATATGAGTGTAATCATAGATGAGGTCAGTAGCTGTTTGCCATGCATAATGTATTGGCTGTATTTCAATTCCATTTAAAAAAATAATTTGTATCAACCAGGTAATCAAACCCTATAAAGTTTGCACTGGTGTAAATATTTATGTAAATCAGAAAAATTAATATAGGAGTTTATACAGATACACATTATGATACATATTTACAAGTGATCATTAGGAAATAAATGATAATATCATTTTAATGTAATTTTGATATCATAGTTAATATGACCATACTAAGTGCATACCACTTCATGCCATTTTAAAAATTTGGTGATAACGGAAAAATAAAAGGGCTATAGTTTTGTATTTTACTATTTAGTGGTTCTTGGGTCAAATGTATACATGCATAAAACTTGCTCTTTCTAAGGTAAAAATGTCCACCAAATAAGTTGTAATAACTTTAACCCACTGTATGCCCAATAACTTAAAACATAAAATGAACAAATTTTAAAATATTACGTATAAAATGAAATGCCCTCCTCTAAAAACGGTAGTCAATGTTAATTCTAGACATGACAAGCAGAAGCATAGTCCGGTTCCATGTTTGGTATCGTCAGGCAATGAATGGGCTTTGTTGTGGAAGTCTTTAATGTGAAGTTAAATCTAGTATATTGAGTTATCATCATAGTCAGAAAAACGTTTATGGGCTACATCTAATGTTGCTTTAAATTTAAGCTTATAATTGACACCTACCAAAAGTTGAACACCATATGTGCAACGGTGTTCTGACTGGCAATATATAATCAAAATGAGTAGAAGAGGTGGCAAGCCGAATAGATGTGGTGGTAAATTTAATCGCTCCAGAGGTAGAGGTGGTGGTGGCAGTAGCGGCAGGAAGGCAAATGAAAGTGACGTTTACGACTACGATGATATTGTGTTGGAAGGACCTGGTAGTATGGTGCCGACAGGAAAACCATCTACAAGAGGCCGTGGACGAGGTGGTAGTTCAAGAGGGGCTCGGGGAAGCGACAGAGGTCGAGGTCATAGTGACAGAGGGCGAGGCCATTATAGTGACAGAGGTCGAGGCCAGAGTGAGAGGGGTCAATGGAGTGACTCACACAGGAGTTCTGACCGACCAAGGTTACAGTATTTCTTTAATTGGGTCGCTCCGTTCATTTATAAGTAGCATTTTGATATATACAAATTAATATTACGCAAACATGAAATGTGAATAGCCTGAAATGGCATATGATTTGACCAAGACGAAAAACACTTGAATATACATGTACAATGAATATTTGAAAGAAGAGGGATAGTCACATTCTTGCCGAATGCTCTTCAGGGAATCAAGTTTGAGTCATTGTGGTAATAATCAACGGTTCTACATGCTGAGCCATAGAAGTATGCTCCATCAGCTTAGTGACAGAGACTATTTAATGTGAAGTGTGAAGTCAAATGCTAGTTTATGTCATATCTATTGATTGATTAGCTGGCAGACATTGGTTTCTGGTCAGTTACAACATCTGCAAAAATGAGCAAGCATTCATCAGAAATAACTTGTTACTAATATCCCATAAGCATATGTACATGTATGCAAAGCATAATGACCAGGCTCATCATTACATCCAGCTTTGAACTTTCACACCTGTTGTATAATCATAATCTTCTACACTTGTTACACCAATGTTACCTGCCAGTTGAAACACCCATATTGAAATACAGGCCATAATTGATTCCTTACACCCAGATGACAATCTAGTGTTCTCTGATGCTGTTTTAGTAACACAAGTTACAAGATAAACAATAAATGTAACGACACATCTACCCATTCCTTTTAGATATATATCATCTTGAACTGTCTGTTTCATGGCTCCAGTAAATATTTTCATTATTTTATCAGTAAATTTAAATAATCAGATTTTATTCTATGCAGGCGATACAATAAACGAATGGAGTACCCCTTATGTGAAAGGTTCATGTTTCGGGTCCCTCTCACTAGTTCCACTTAACATAAGAGACAACACATTTCTCATTTACAATCACTAAGGTTTCCAGCCTTATATGTCAGGTGAACAGGAAATAAGATTTACTTGTGTCTCAATAGTTAAGTTTTCAGAAACATGCATTTCAAACTGCCAATGCAATGTTTCAGTTTGTTAAATTTATTTGTGGTATCTATTTAAGACTTCTAGTATGTTTATTTTTCACATGAAAGCTTGAAAGGATATTAAATTGGTCAAGATATTTTAATGATAAATGATATTAACAATAGACACTTGAAGTAAAAAGGGTTAATTTCAAGAAAATATAACATGGGCAAAAAGGGGGATAACTTTGTAATATTTTCAGCCAATCCTGTTGTATGCCATTTGTATGTTATAATTGTTGTGTATGTTACTTATGCAGTCATAAAGGTAATTCATATACCCTGCTCGGTGTAGGCATTGATTGATCATTTGGGATATGGGTTCAACTTGAGGAGGCAGTGTGTTGTGTATCAAAAGTAAATAATTGTGTCGACCCACATTTGCCTTTTGACCTAGATCAAAGAAAGTGTTTGGTGGAGTTCCATCTCCTACCCTACTTTTCACTGAACCTTCATACTTGGGTTATGGGTTCACATTGGAAAGGCAATGTGTCATGTGTCAAAAGTAAGTCACTGTGACCTACATTTTGACCTTTAAGCTATATCAAAGACAAAGTTTGTCGGAGCTCTACCTTTGATACTACTTGTCACTGGAACTTAATACTTGGAATATGGATTCAACTTGGCAAGGCTGTTTCAGTAGGAAGCTGTAGTTCACTAAATTGTCTTGTTTCTATTAATCTTTTATATTACCAGCTTTAAAAGGTGACATTGGTCCTTTTTTTATGAAAAATAATCACCAACATAATCCCAGACTCATGATCAATAGAAAGAATATTATAAAACGTTTTCTTTATTTACAGGAAGTTCATTAGCTCCCTTAAATTAGATTTTAAAGTAAAAATAGTGAAATATTGAGGTAAAAATGTCACGAAATTTAAACTTTCATTTTGTGCTCTTTACGACTTCCATTTTTTCAAGTTTAAACATACATGAATTGAAATATTTTTGTGCAAAATGCACCACGTAATCACATTGTAGAACTTTAGAGTTCATATTTTTCATAACTATTCAAAAATTTTAGTTGTAAGTATGATGGTTATTTTGATTACCAACTATATGCTTGGAAATGAAATTCCACAAAGCTTGACACTAAGAATATGGCAGTGGCGCCTTGTCAATAGTTCTGACGAAGCCCACATAGTTCGGGCGAAACCAGTCGACAAACCAATAAATCAATTAGCAATGTACCAAAACTTGTTGCAATTGATGTCTGTCCTTGCTTGTTAATAGTTGGTATATTCTAACCATTGTCTACTCTTCTTTGCTTAAGGTATATTAAGTAATAGTAATCTTAGTGGAATTACAGCTGGCTTTTAAGAAAAGATTTTTCTTTTTTGTTGCATACTGGTATGTATGCTGTTTTAAATGACGCATGTTGAAATACCAAAAAGAAATGCAGTTTACAGACCAGTAACAACAAAATAGAAAAAGAATTTGCATTTTAACAGTTTTGTTTTTATTTATGTTACTTTAAAAAGTAATAATCATCATTCATTGGATGTTATACAAACTGATTAATCAGCCTGACAACAGATGGAATAGCAAAATAGCTTATTCAGTTTTGGTGGAAATGTTGCCAGACTTCATGTTTACCAAAGTGTAACATCAATTTTGTTGGTAAGGTCAAACCAGAAATGTATATATTATTGATTATATTAAAAATTTCAGGAGACAGGATGTCCGTGTTAAACTACAAACACTGTATATGAGTGAGGAAAACCAGGATATGGTACGAGACATGTTCAAAGATCTCCATGGAGAAGAACCTGACATTATGAGGTAATGAGCTTGATGTACACTATTGGAAAGTATTACGTATGACTGTAAAATCTATCACCTGTTTAGAATCATTCTCACTAAGTCTCTTTCTCAAATAAATATTTCTAATATAAAATCTGTCTATAGTTTTGTGGTGACAACACATATATCTGTTTTTTAGGTATCATCATTAAATTTATTTTTCCCATGAATGAATATTTTACACATATACAATATGCAATTATGTAATTTTGGTAAGGTGAACATATTTTGCATGAAATGTATCTAATTTTATAAAACTATTTTTTGTCAACTGGTTATGAAATATCAGGATTTACATATGATGTTACTTGATAAATGCAGTTTAGCCAATGTTAAGCCTAATTACCTTACAGTGAGGAGGAGTATGATGAGTTAGATATGAGAACTGAGGACCAATACTGGATGACCAAAGATCCTTTACAGATAGAAGATGTCCAGGTCTACTACGGCAAAAAGAAGGGCAGTAAAATGGATGCTGAATGCATTAGTCACATCGCCATTAACAAACTGATGAGGTAAACCTGATATGAAAAGCAATTTCCTGTTTATAAATGTTTGTCCATAAATACAAGATTTTCAAATCAACTTCTGACTTCACAGGTAGATAGGATTTATCTTGAGAATGATTTTTGGGACTAAAGTATTTAAATCTTGCTTTTCTTATGGGACTGGCATAAGTTTTCAAAACCTACTATATCTCTTAGTAATGGTACTCTTCAAAGACAGGATGGACTTTATTTATTTTACAGCAATTGCGAAACTAACTATTAACTTGTATTAAATTACTCTTGTTGGCCTTGATGGAAATGAACAGGGGTCTTACTGTGGGTGGAAACCAGAGTATCTACGGTAAACCCAGATGGTCAGGCAGGTGACTTCATACCTTTTCACATCCGTTCTGGGAATGAAACCCCGGACGGATAGATGAAAGTTGAGTGCATTATCACTGCGCCACATAGACCCGACCACTCAAGTCTGGACTTGCATGAGAATATCTTACAATAATCACTGCATAAGTGTTTGAAAAACTTTGATGCCTACTCATGATTTTTGGAGTTATAGCTGTTTATAAATATGAGCAAACTCAGTGTTCAATTAGTATCTTCCCAAAGTTTAATCAATATGAAAGCACTGATAACAATAATTATGCACTTGCATGATGTAGTTATTTTTGGTGTATAGATAAAACTGTGTTGTCGTAGTTGTTAACTCAGGGTCTCATCATCACAAATATCTGTAAGTTTCATTTATAAAGACCAATTTCATACTCAAACTTTTTACACTACTTTAAATATGCTCAGATATGATAGACAAATATCTCAGGAAGGTATCATAAAAAGCTACCAGAGCTGCAGGTATACTTAATAATGGACTGTATACAAACAATATGATTTGATAGTGATTACTACTGTTTTACTGTTATTGGATAGCTATAATCATGCTTTGTAAATTTTATAGGGAGATGCCAATATAAAAAATAAACCAGATTCATTTAACAGCTGAATAAGTGCACACCATCATCTGTACTCCTTTAGATAGGTTTCGATTTTAATCTACCTGGGTCTGGATTTATGTGTTTAGGCCACTAACATCACTGGTAAGTCCTAAAAGGACACATGACACATACCAGGTGTATGATGCAGTTTTAAAAATTTTCACTTCATGGTTAAAATTATTATTCAGTTGAGTGTCATTTGCATTATCATTTTATACCTTACTTTATTTATGCCTGGTAATATGTAATAAGTCCACCTATGTATATTGCAGTTATATAGAATCATAAACTAATCCAATTTCATCCTGTTTTTGCAAGTCCTCCGAATTTCAATAAGATGACAAGTGTGGGAGCCCCTGGGCTTATTGCAGGATGTTTACGGTAGTAATGGTACTTTGAAGATGAATGATTATACGGCCTAATTGATGGGTATGCTTTGAGTACATTGTGTTTGATTACAGATATGGGTATGAGAAGAAACGATGCGTCGAAGCTCTACAGTTACATGATGGTGACATAGGAACAGCATTTGAATACTTATTCTGTAAATGTTTTGACATCAACATAAACTTAGAGACAGAAGTTGATGACAATGGAAATGACAATAGTTCTGATGAGAATTTCTTAGATGAGGATAAAAAGGACCCCAAAAAAATCCTAGCAGAACTTGGTCTGACATGGGAAGATATCGAAGAACAAAGAAATGAAGAAATAATGGCCTTGAAATCAATATATGAAGACAATTTTACTGAAAAGATTCCCAATAAAGTCTGGTCACTATGTCTAGATCTTCCTTCTCTTAAAGACTTGATAAAATCTCCAAAACCAGAGGAGGAAGAGACAGTTCAGGAGAAAAAAGATAAAAATGTTGAAGTTTGTAGATTCTATTTGAAAGGATTTTGTCGATTTGGAAAGAAATGTCATTATTCTCATGAAATTCCAAAAGTTGTTCAAAAGATTTTTATACCAAACGAAGAGCTTATGAAAAATAAGCCAGATTTTGAATTAGAATTTAGATTTCCTGAAGATAATCTGTACCCTGTAGAGGCACCTATTGTTGGATTTTCCTCCACTCTGCCAAATTTTCCTCCTCATGTGTGTCTGCTTATCACAGAGCGCCTGCGAAAAGAAGCTATCGACTGTGCGGAAATGCATGCACCTGCTGTGTTTTCTTTAGTCAGTGTTCTGGACGATGAAACAACTGTTGTACATTTGTATAATAAACCGCCACTAGAGTACAGTCAGCCTGAGTGTAACCAGTCCTGGCGACGGAAACAAAAACTGGAGGAGGAACAATCTGCAGTTATGTTTCCTTTCAAAAGACAGACATCCTCGGAGGAAGACTATAAATCAGAGACAGCTACAATGATTAGAATGGCAGAACGTGAAAACCAGTTAGACGAAGAAGAAATTAAGATGGAAAAAAAGCGATTCAATACAAAAGATAGTAATATCATGAAACAAATGAACATGGGTGAGACACTGAAACAGAACAGAAAGTTGAAAGATGAATACCAAAGGAAAAAGGTGAGAGAATGTCAAATCTATTGTGTATCATTTGTATCCGGTAACTTAAAATGTCAAAAACTTCAATCTGAATCAGTTTGAAGTAAATTGTTTTATAATGAAATAATTTTATGTAATAGTGATACTGTAATAAAGATATGTTTTTACTTTCTGTTAAAGGAGCCAATTAATCTGACAATATCAATACATATACTATAAAAAAATAGCTATAAAAAAGTAAACATAAGTCTAAAGTGAATTAGAAAAAAATTGAGTATTTTTCTAAGTGAAATTTTGATGTTAAGATACTCTGATTATGTGCATTTCTGCATTGGATTTATAGGTACTCGTACATTATAAATGTTGAATTCATGCACATGTATTATAAGAGATAATAGTGAAAATGATGTTTACACTTATTTTAGAATTCCAAAGCTCTGCAGAATATGATGAACCAGAGACAAAATCTACCAGCTTGGAGCATGCAAGATGAAATTCTAGCTGCTCTAGAGAGCCACCAGGTGTTGGTTGTCAGTGGTATGACTGGGTAAGATTTGGATGTCTGATCTAGAGTCACTTGGTGCTGGTGGTCAGTGGTATGACCTGGTAAAATATTAACCTCTGATCTCGGGTCGCCATGTGTTGGTGGACAGTGGTATGACCTGGTAAAATATTAACCTCTGATCTCGGGTCACCATGTGTTGGTGGTCAGTGGTATGACCTGGTAAAATATTAACGTCTGATCTCTGGTCACCATGTGTTGGTGGTCAGTGGTATGAGTGTGTAAGATAGTGACGTCTGATCTAGTGTCACCATGTGTTGGTGGTCAGTGGTATGAGTGTGTAAGATAGTGACGTCTGATCTAGGGTCACCATGTGTTGGTGGTCAGTGGTATGAGTGTGTAAGATAGTGACGTCTGATCTAGGGTCATTAGGTGTTGTTTGTCAGTAGTGAGAAATGGGTATTATATTGAAAACTGATTTAGAGTTACCAGGGATTGTTTTCCAGTGGTACATTGGTATGACTAGGTCAGATATTGACCTCTGATCTAGGGCCACTAGGTGTTGGTGGTCAGTGGTATGATCTAGAGCTAACAAATGTTGTTGGTCAGTAGTATGACTGGGTAAGATACTGACCTCAAATCTAGAATTACCAGTTGTTTGTCCTTGGTATGATAAGGTAAAATATTGACCTCTGATCTAGTGTCACAAGATGTTGGTGGTCAGCGGTTTGACTAGATAAAATGTTACCTTCTCTAGTGTCACAAGGTGTTGGTGTTTAGTGGTATGACTAGATAAGATATTGACATCACGTCTAGTGTCACAAGATGTTGGTGGTCAGCGGTATGACTAGATGAAATGTTACCTTCTCTAGTGTCACAAGGTGTTGGTGTTTAGTGGTATGACTAGATAAGATATTGACATCTCGTCTAGTGTCACAAGATGTTGGTGTTTAGTGGTATGACTAGATAAGATATTGACATCACGTCTAGTGTCACAAGATGTTGGTGTTTAGTGGTATGACTAGATGAAATATTGACATCACGTCTAGTGTCACAAGATGTTGGTGTTTAGTGGTATGACTAGATAAGATATTGACATCACGTCTAGTGTCACAAGATGTTGGTGCTAAGTGGTATGACTAGATAAAATGTTGACATCACGTCTAGTGTCACAAGGTGTTGGTGTTTAGTGGTATGACTAGATAAGATATTGACATCACGTCTAGTGTCACAAGATGTTGGTGTTAAGTGGTATGACTAGATAAAATGTTGACATCACGTCTAGTGTCACAAGGTGTTGGTGTTTAGTGGTATGACTAGATAAGATATTGACATCACGTCTAGTGTCACAAGATGTTGGTGTTAAGTGGTATGACTAGATAAAATGTTGACATCACGTCTAGTGTCACAAGGTGTTGGTGTTTAGAGGTATGACTAGGTAAGATATTGACCTCTGGTCTAGAGTTACCAGGTGTTGGTGTTTAGTGGTATGACTAGATAAAATGTTGACATCACGTCTAGTGTCACAAGGTGTTGGTGTTTAGAGGTATGACTAGATAAAATGTTGACATCACGTCTAGTGTCACAAGGTGTTGGTGTTTAGAGGTATGACTAGGTAAGATATTGACCTCTGGTCTAGAGTTACCAGGTGTTATTGGTTGGTGGTATGAATGGGTAAAATATTGACCAATGATATTGAGTCACTAGGTCTTTGAGGTCAGTGGTATGACTGATATTGACCACTCAAAAATGATCGTCAGATCATTCACATTGATCTCAAGACTGGTATATTTATAACAGTACTTTTGAAGATGATAGATTAAATGAGCAAACTGTAACCAGCATGTCGTATCTCACTATATTAGTAAAATTTTAGCTAGTTTGGGATATAAATCATACCATAATGATATACTTAGATATAACAATTAATGTGTTTTGTTTATTATTGGATTTTCATATCAGATATTGTGTTAACCTGTAAAAAAAGGTAATGATTAGAAACCTATGACAGCTTCTTCAAATTATCTAACTGCTCATACATGGGACCAATCTTATTAGAAAACAAATATTGAATTATTGTTTATAAATATGGTTTATATATATATAAAAACACTTATTGTTATCTTTAGGTGTGGTAAGACGACACAAGTCCCGCAGTTTATCTTAGATTCATATCTGGAGTCTAAAGACTTGAAAATGTGTTCAATCCTGTGTACCCAACCACGCCGTATCTCGGCCATGGCTGTGGCTGAGCGTGTGGCTGAAGAAAGAGCAGAGAAACTTGGTCGGACTGTTGGTTACCAGATCAGACTGGAGAAAGTTCAGGTAAGTAGAAAGTACAGGATGATAACAATAGAGCATTTGATATGTTGACAATACTACTCTTTTGATCATCTGCTGACCAAAAGAGCAGTGAAGTTAACTGCTTTAGCAGTTTGTCATTAAGGATGCTTGTTATATATTTTCTGTATTTTTACCCCTAGTTAGTATTTCTCCTATTCAGGCCATCCTGTTCAGCGTGAAGTGAAATTTTACTGTTATGAACAGCTAGCTGTTAGATTAAAAATTTAACATTAAATACCATGAAGAAGTTGACTTTGACAGATTGTATGTAGTAAAGGGGCTAATGAAAAAGGAATATTGTATGGAGATTACTTGTACGTTTAATGTGAGACATTTAATTAGTAAGGTTAATGAGGGACATTCAAAAAGAAGTCATTTTTAGGTCAGTGACCTTTTCTGATCTATCGTCGTCCATTTTTGTACCTTACCTGTTGTTCACCCTGAGGCCTGGAGGGCAAGACAAAAAGGGACAAATTTGATTTTATTTCAGAAATCTTCTCCAGGCTCAGATACTGTAGAATAACAAATGCTCCAGTGAACCCTCTAGATTCTGAGTCGCAGGGCTCAAATACAATTTGTCAGCAATTTTGTTTAATTGCATGTACTTAAAATCGGGTCACAAATATCAAACACAACTATGATGATGTTAGAACTCAGATGATCATTAAGGCCCATGGGCCTCTTGTACTTGCTTACAATTATAGGAGATTTTTATTGTCAGTGTACAGGTAGGTGTAAAATTTCATTGTCTTCTTCAATTTGGTCTAAGGTGCTGCATTTTTTGTCAAACCTCATTCCCATTATTTTTCAATCAATGGTATGATAACCCTCTTTTTTTTGCATTTGTAAAATCATACAGCTATGAAAAATTGAGGGATTTATAAAACTTATCTTCTTGATCATGGGGGTAAGTCTTAATCCCTTTTCTTAAAATTACCACAAGATATTAAAAATGGCCTAATTAAATGTTCACTCACTTGTAATCCTCCATAACAATTATTGTGTACAGTCATCTCTGACACGGCTGTTGTTCTGTACTACGGGGATTGTGTTGCGGACGCTGGAGGGAGATTCTACACTCGAGGGTATAACACATATCATTATAGACGAGGTCCATGAACGATCTGAGGAGAGGTAGGTGTTCAGTAGTACTGTATGTTATAGACAAGGTCAATGAACATACAGAGGAGAGGTAGGTGTTCAGTAGTACTGTATGTTATAGACAAGATCAATGAACAGACAGAGGAGATGTAAGTGTTCAGTAGTACTGTATGTTATAGACAAGGTCAATGAACAGTCAGGGGAGAGGTAGGTGTTCAGTAGTACTGTATGTTATAGACAAGATCAATGAACGGTCAGGGGAGAGGTAGGTGTTCAGTAGTACTGTATGTTATAGACAAGGTCAATGAACGGTCAGGGGAGAGGTAGGTGTTCAGTAGTACTGTATGTTATAGACAAGATCAATGAACGATCTGAGGAGAGGTAGGTGTTCAGTAGTACTGTATGTTATAGACAAGGTCAATGAACGGTCAGGGGAGAGGTAGGTGTTCAGTAGTACTGTATGTTATAGACAAGATCAATGAACGATCAGAGGAGATGTAGGTGTTCAGTAGTACTGTATGTTATAGACAAGGTCAATGAACATACAGAGGAGAGGTAGGTGTTCAGTAGTACTGTATGTTATAGACAAGATCAATGAACAGACAGAGGAGATGTAGGTGTTCAGTAGTACTGTATGTTATAGACAAGGTCAATGAACAGTCAGGGGAGAGGTAGGTGTTCAGTAGTACTGTATGTTATAGACAAGGTCAATGAACAGTCAGGGGAGAGGTAGGTGTTCAGTAGTACTGTATGTTATAGACAAAGTCAATGAACGGTCAGGGGAGAGGTAGGTGTTCAGTAGTACTGTATGTTATAGACAAAGTCAATGAACAGACAGAGGAGAGGTAGGTGTTCAGTAGTATTGTATGTTATAGACAAAGTCAATGAACGATCAGAGGAGAGGTAGGTGTTCAGTAGTACTGTATGTTATAGACAAGGTCAATGAACAGTCAGGGGAGAGGTAGGTGTTCAGTAGTACTGTATGTTATAGACAAGGTCAATGAACAGTCAGGGGAGAGGTAGGTGTTCAGTAGTACTGTATGTTATAGACAAGATCAATGAACAGACAGAGGAGAGGTAGGTGTTCAGTAGTACTGTATGTTATAGACAAGATCAATGAACAGACAGAGGAGAGGTAGGTGTTCAGTAGTACTGTATGTTATAGACAAGGTCAATGAACAGTCAGAGGAGAGGTAGGTGTTAAGTAGTACTGTATGTTATAGACAAAGTCAATGAACAGTCAGGGGAGAGGTAGGTGTTCAGTAGTACTGTATGTTATAGACAAGGTCAATGAACGGTCAGGGGAGAGGTAGGTGTTCAGTAGTACTGTATGTTATAGACAAGGTCAATGAACGGTCAGGGGAGAGGTAGGTGTTCAGTAGTACTGTATGTTATAGACAAGGTCAATGAACAGACAGAGGAGAGGTAGGTGTTCAGTAGTACTGTATGTTATAGACAAAGTCAATGAACAGTCAGGGGAGAGGTAGGTGTTCAGTAGTACTGTATGTTATAGACAAAGTCAATGAACAGTCAGGGGAGAGGTAGGTGTTCAGTAGTACTGTTACTTATGCCTCAATTATTTTTTTATTGGTTATATATTCCCATTACATACAGACAGCTGTCTAACTTGAAGAGTTCAATGGATATTTTGGGAAGGATCATAAAGATTCAAACATTAATAGACATAATGCAGGGTAGGGTGATCGTAACTTTCTCTGTATTTATTCATATGTCCAAGTTGATATTCCTTTAAAAAAGCTTGTTATCAATTGTATAAAATTGAAGAATATTTCATGACTATGATACTCAAAATAAAGTTATAATATTTCTAAATTCTGGTCTGTACTTGTACTTGATCACCACAGACTTAAGAGGGAATTATTTCATTACTTTTCATATCTATAAAATGAAATATTCCTTGGCCCTCACAGATTTATTTCAAATCTTAATGATAAATGATGTTGTGTGATGACAGTGACTTCTTGATGATGTACCTAAAGGACATGCTGCCAAAACGTAAAGACTTGAAGGTGATCCTGATGAGTGCCACGCTCAATGCCCAGTTGTTCTCTGACTACTTCGGTGGCTGCTCCATCATAGATATCCCCGGTAACCATTTACAGTGGAGAGTTTTTAGTTTATGCGGGCGCTGAGATATGATAATTATGTTTTATTGATAAAGACGTCTTAAAGGTTAAAAAAAAAGATAATTAAATATATCTTCACCAACATAATCTCCAGATATATTTCTAAATATAGAAAATATGAAAAAACTTCCGATCTCAAATCCAACTCAAATCTTTCTTTTTTCATCATTTCAGGACAATTTTCCCTACTGTGAAATTTAAGATAATGGCCAAAATCTTATATAAGTTCATTCAAAGAAATCATATTTTAATTTGGACTCTATTAATTGAGATAGAACAGAAGTTATATGGAAAAGGATTTTCTGTTATCCTGTAATGTCTGTATTTCCAGGGAGAACATTTCCTGTTGATCAGTATTTCCTTGAGGATGCTGTGGAGTTCACAAGGTCAGTGCAAAAGGAAATTCTGATTAGCTAAGTTCACCTAAAAGAGGTGGTTAGTTTGAAAAGGGAAATGTTGATGTCAGATAATGGTGTCAGAGCAGCATATCTAATCTTAACCATGTAATAAATTTGTCAGTGAAAAAAATAATCTTAAAAGTACTGATAATTAATCTTTCTCAATTGAAATTCACCAGTTCAATATTCACTATGTAGTCTAACTACTAAAATAGTTAGAATTAAACCTTGGAAAAAAACATGATTTCCAGTTATGTAGATGTCCACCATGGTGTATTTTCAGCAATTTTACTGTATTTTTAGTAATAAGATCCATGTCCACCATGTCAACACCCAATATCTGATTCAAATAAGGATGAAAGGATTATTACAGGGGAATGATGTGAAAGTATTTCTTGATATTTGTACTTTTAACAGCAATATACAGTGGGGAGGAAGACATAAAACCAGACATAAGCTTATTGTCTGATAAATCTGGTACATGGTACCTCAAAGTTAGTAACACAAGTCCACAAAAAGATAAAATTCATTAGTCAAAAATCTAACAATATCATACATTGCAGGTTTGTTATGGAAGAATCCTCACCCTATGCTCGCCCACTCAAGCACAGCAATGCTGTGCCAGGAAGGGGTGGATTCATTGACCCAAACCAGTATGAGGATGACAGGACAGAGGCGTCACAGCCACCAAAGGAAAAAGCCAAGGATGAAAATCTAACAGTGAAGCAGCTATTTATGAGATATTCTGGTAAGAAGTGGTTATGTAAAGGTGTAAATTTATGGATGATTTCAATATTTTCATCTTTGGTTGTTTATTCTATAACAAGATATATTTAGTACTTAATGTTTTCAGATTATCATAAGTCAACATGCAGATGTATGGCTCTGATGGACATGAACAAGATCAACTACGACCTCATTGTCACCTTGTTAGAGTGGATTGTCGAGGAGAAGGAAGGGGTAGGACCAGAATTCTGGAGCATTTTGCTTACCTTGAAATTACAAGGCACAAAGCGGCGGGGGAAATCTGTGATCTGAAATCGATTAATTCACAATTTTTCCTTGTTCAATTTTTCTTTGAAAGATTGTTTTAGATGTTAAGTGTTATATCTAGTATGTTTTGAAACTTTGCTTTTTACATTTTCACATTTTCCTGGATGGTTCATAGATTGAGTGCTAAAATCTCAGAAATAAAAAGAATAAACATGTCATGATTAGAAATCATTCTTCTCTTAAATAGCAATTCTCTGATTCTGGAGTGCAAAATATATTGTACATGGAGTCTAAGGGAGGTAGCCTTATTTTACACTGGCATGTATTTCTCAGAATTTGTAGAAAAATATACAGTTTGTTATTCCATCTTACAAAAATGTCTACACACAGTCCACAGTCATTCTGTCAATGTATTGCTGATTGTCGACAATATTTGTTTCAGTTTCCAAATGGGGCTGTCCTAGTCTTCCTTCCAGGCTTTGCAGAAATTCAAACTCTTTATGAGATGCTCCAATCAAATTCAACATTTGGTAATCGAAACAAAAAGAGGTAAAGTATTTCAGTTCCACTACATCTTCCTTTTGGTTAAAAGTCATATGTCACATAAGAAAGATAATCATGCTTCAGTTTACATACAAATGTAAGGAAAAGTGCAAAACCAGCCAATAATCCAACTGTTTCAATTAACAAAAATGATTACAAAACTTACATGATCTAGCCAATCATTGGAAATGCTCACATTGTACCTATGATAGAGACCACTTTTTGACAATATAGTACAGTATAGTATAAAGTTAGGTTTACCAGTGCTGAATATTATTGATTTTAGAATTGTACAACAAATTTAGAATCAACAAGCTGGTCAAATACATTTTGAAAAGAACAACTTCATGTATAAGTTGTTCAATTATGATTACTAAACAACAGAAGTTTGTTTCCATAAGATTGATTCTGTAACAATACGCTGTATTCTATTTTGACTGTTTTAATGCTGATTAATGTTCAGGATCTTTGAGTCAAATGACTCAGTATTCTGGTGCTGTGTGAATGGCATTTTTTTTTGTTGTCGTTCAGACTTAGATATTCATCAATTTAGAGTATTAAATCTTAAACATAACAAGGTCAAATGTTTATGATTTTCCTAAAAAGTTCCCCTAATCCTAAAATTAAATTTGAATATTCATATATTCAGTATAGCAGCTATTAAGATGAGAAATCTTACTAACTTTGATCCATTGAAATTCTGCAATCCTGAGCACAGATCAGCAATTAGTTGTTTTAGATATCGGTAAAAAGATAATACATCATTTTTCCTTTATGTTATTTTGTTAATTATTTTCAAACAGTTACAAGATAATACCGCTGCATTCCACTTTGTCCAGTGAAGATCAACATGCTGTATTCTTGTAAGTTTTTAACTGTTCTGTCACTCTACATAATGCTGTCTGTTTCCTCTGTTTCTGGTCTGGACACTTGTGATGCTATTTTAGAATGTAGAGAAAAGAGAAAAAACTCACTCATAGAATGAGTTAAAACTTTTCTGGAGTATTTGACTACGTTTAAACATCTGAAGAATGAAGAACGCAGAACTCAGACTTTTGCGTGGATTGAATACTATAGAGATGCAGATCATTTTTAGTCCACCATAATCAGATGGTGGGCTGTTTAAATCACCCTCCATCCATTCAAAACAATTTTTGACATTGTTATTTCTTAAGAATTAGTGGATGGGTTCCTCATGAATTTCACCTGTAGGTTCCCGTTTATCCCTAGCTATACCTGTGTGATTTTTAGAATGATCAGAAAATCAAAATTGCTGACAGTCGGCCCCCTTTGATTTTATAAAAGAAAGTTTGTCATCATTATTTCTTGAAAAGTACTGGGTGGATCTTTCTCAGTGGTTCCTCTTGGTCTCTGGTTGTGCCCTTTTGATTAAGGACTAATCAGAAAAACAAAATGGCTGATATGCAGACATCTTTGATTTTGCCTAATAAAGTTTGTGATTGCTATTTCTTGAGAAGTACTGGATGGATCTTCCTCGAATTGCATTGTTAGGTTTCATTTTGTCTCTAGTAGTGCCCATTTAATTTTGGACTGATCAGAAAAATGAAATGGCCAATAGGTGGCCATCTTTGATTTTGACAAAGGAAGTTTGTTATCACTATTTCTTGAGAAGTACTGCATGGATTGCTCTCAACTTCTATATATTTAAGTCTCCCTTGGTCCCTTTTTATGCCTGTTTGATTTTAAGACTGATCATGAAGACAAAGTTGGACATCTTGGATTTCAACAATGAAAGTTTGTTGTCACTATTTTGTGAGGAGTGATAACATGTAGGTTCTTCTTGGTCCCTAGGTGTGCCCGTTTGATTTAGGGAGTGGAAAAAAAAGAAAATGGCTGACAGAGGAGAGAAGAGAATAGAAGTGAAAAGAAACAAATTTTAAGGAACAAATAAAGATCAAACAATGTTGGGCACTAAGATCCTTTTGCAATGTCTTGTTAATCTGTTAATGAGGTGCTACACAGTACTCTCAAGTATTTGAACATGTGTTCCCAAACCACAGATTTACCTATCTATATATCTTATGTATACAACTTTATACCTGGTCCAGTATTTTATGATATTTCTGAAAACACCTACCTGCACTGTGTTTGCATAAGCTAGAGAGATCTTATGTTTGAATTAAATTTTACAGAAAACCACCAGAGGGAGTAACAAAGATAGTCATAGCAACAAATATTGCTGAAACATCCATCACTATAGATGACATTGTGTATGTCATCGATGCTGGCATGATGAAGGAAAAACGGTAAATTCTGTCATTTTTTAAAGTTCCTGATCCGCTAATGTTTTAAATGGTGTACATGTCTAAGAAAGGTTTCAATTTTTGGCAGTTGCAAATCATCAGGTTATCTTGGCAGGTGTATTAAGTAAGGTTTGAAAGTGATATTTGACTTATACAGGTACGATGCTTCTAAAGGTATGGAGAGTTTGGAGACAGTGACGGTGTCGCGTGCTAATGCCCAGCAGAGGAAGGGACGTGCTGGGCGTGTCACTAATGGTGTTTGTTTCCATCTGTTTACCAGTCATAGGTATCAATACCACATGAAGGAACAACCCATACCAGGTACAGTGTAAAGTACAGATATATATTAACCTGACAAGCTACAAAATACAGGTATACTATGTACAGTGTAAAATACAGATTTATCAGATACAGGGTAAAATATAGATTTACATTAACCTACTAGCCAGATACAGTATAAAACATATATATATATAAACCTAGCCAGGTACAGTTTATAAAATAGATATATATGTTAATTTAATGAAGTACTGTGTAAAATAAAGGTATATATGCCACAGTTCAAAAAATATATATCAGTCTAGCCAGATAAAGTGTAAAATATAGATACATGTTTACAAGGTACAGTGTAAAAAATAAATACAGATGTACTTAGTAGATTATAAAATATAAGTAAATATTACCCTAGACCGGTACTGAATAAAATATTGATATACCAGATACGGTGTAAAATATTGATAAAAATCAACTTAGCTAGGTATACCAGGTACAATGTACAATATTGACATAAATAAACCAAGCATTGTTTCTCAACTCTCACAGTATAATAAAAAAGCCAGTAAGTATTTTTTTGTCTTTCTCTTCTGTACAGAAATACAGCGAGCTCCACTTGAACAGATTGTTCTAAGGATAAAAATGTTGGACATTTTTAACAGATTACATGCTCAGGTAGGTCGTAGGATCTGTAGAAGTTTTGTAATATGACTTGAATATTAGGGAATCGATTACAGTGGTAAATGTAATGTAAAAATGAAATCAGTTTAATATCTATAAGCAGCCCATTTCTAAAGTTTGGAACCTAAACTTCAGAACTTCAAAGTTGACATTTGTTGCTGCATCTCTGATAGAATTTTAGGGTTTAGGGACTAGATCTGAATATTTTTTGGTACTAATGAGCTGTTGGAGGGAGTGGGGGTGTGTCATCAGGACTGCTCTCAAACAATTGTCACATTCTAAACATCTGGAGTAGTTAAGCTAGATTTCATGGAGTAGGGCTTGATATTGTACTCATATAATGATTTCTGACAAATGGTCTTGATGTCCATATGGTATTTTTATCAGAAGAAAGTGAGACAAGTGTGTTAAGAAACTGATGTTCCTCATTGATTTTATTCCTTTCTTAAAGATGTCAGATAAATGTTTGTAAATATATACAGGAAGTACTGGAACAGTTACCAGAGCCTCCAGAGAAAGAGTCCATTTTAGCTGCTATCAGACGTCTTCAAGATCTAGGAGCACTGGATGAACAGGATGTAAGTCAGTTACTTGCTTTGTGTACTGTATATGTTTACCTATTACAACAATGTCAACTCTTGTGTCTTCTGTCCTCCTGGTATCATGACCAACCAACCATTATAAGAAATAAAAAATATATAAATATAAGTAAATAATTAAATCACTCTGCCCCAATCAGATATCAAACTGAATTACCTGATATTTACTGCTGGTAAAATTTACGTAAAGTTAAAAATAACTGTATATTTGGCTTTAATGAACTGTTGGATGGAGGGCGGGGGTGTTATCAGGACTGCTTTCATTCAGTTGTCACATTATAAACAGTTTGAGCGGTAAATAAACAAACCGTTGAATTTGCAATGTTCAAAACAGTTTTTTTTCTGGTCGTATTATTTTAATCTGTTAGAAAATGTACACATATTAATGATTTTTCAATTTACAATAATACAACAACTGGTTAACTATAATATAACAAATTGTACTGTTTTGCGTTTTCTTCCTGTTAATCTTAAGGTTGAAGTCATGCTGTTTTTTTATACATTATACAGGAATTGACACCACTGGGATATCATCTGGGCTCTCTCCCAGTAGATGTCAGGTAAATATCCTAAAAGTGATGTAGATATCTTTGTGGATGTCAGGTAGATATCTTTGTGGATGTCACGTAGATATCTTTGTAGATGTCAGGTAAATATCCTAAAAGTGAAGTAGATATCTTTGTAGATGTCAGGTAAATATCCTGAAAGTGAGGTAGATATCTTTATAGATGTCACATTAATATCTTGGTAGTTGTCACGTTAATATCTTTGTAGATGTCAGGTAAATATCCTGAAAGTGAGGTAGATATCTTTGTGGATGTCAGGTAAATATCCTGAAAGTGAGGTAGATATCTTTGTAGATGTCAGGTAAATATCCTGAAAGTGAGGTAGATATCTTTGTGGATGTCAGGTAAATATCCTGAAAGTGAGGTAGATATCTTTGTGGATGTCAGGTAAATATCCTGAAAGTGAGGTAGATATCTTTGTGGATGTCAGGTAAATATCCTGAAAGTGAGGTAGATATCTTTGTGGATGTCACGTTAATATCTTGGTAGTTGTCACATTAATATCTTTGTGGAAGTCAGGTAAATATCCTGAAAGTGAGGTAGATATCTTTGTAGATGTCACGTTAATATCTTGGTAATTGTCATATTAATATCTTTGTGGATGTCAGGTAAATATTCTGGTGAATGTCAGGTAATATAAATGTGCACTTACTGAAATTGACCACAATGACTTAATTTTTCACATTAACGTCATATCAAATTGCATACTACCGATCAAGCACTTTCATATAAAGATTCCTCTTGGCTTCTCGTTGCACTGGAGAAATTGAGTGACATTTTTGGGAAAAAGGAATGCCCAGAAAATTGCAAGCTTAGTTGTCAAATCTGTGACAGCCTTTTCTTGAGTAATACTTGATGGATCTTTCTCATATTGGACAATTCCCTTTGGTTTCTTCTTGTGTTTGTTAAATTTTGATACTAAACAAAAAATGGTAGACATTGTATACACACATACATGCAGCCATCTTACATTTTAATACCTGAAGATTGATTTTTCTTAAATATCATATAGAGAAGTTTCTCTTGTGAAATGATGTTTGATTCATTAACCTATAGACACAGTAACAGCAATGAAGAGGTTAAAGTAAGGAAAGACAAGTGTAAATAATGATCACAAGATGATTGGGGCGAAGGTCTTTTGATCTCTTGTTTGACTGTTTCAAATGTTCACATGAACTTGTTTTGTGTCTTTCCAGGGTCGGTAAACTGATGCTGTTTGGAGCTATTTTCCGCTGCCTAGACCCTGCTCTGACAATAGCAGCTTCACTCAGCTTCAAGTCTCCTTTTGTGAGTTGAATAGATATGACTATATCATGATGAATCATTTTACCATATTCTACATTATTCACAAACTGAACATTTTAATCAAATTGGATACAAAAATTCAAATTTAGTGCATTTCATAACTTGCATGGAATAGAAGATAAGTTAATCTCTTAAATGAATTTGGGTACAAATAAAAAATATCTTAGTAATGATATTCCATAAAAGAAAAATTACTTTAATGTGTTGTAGAAAGTATAGTGATAACTTTGATTGAACCAGTGGATATTACTGTTGTAATTCTGGAAATATTTCCCTTTAAACTCATTTCCAAACCTGATTCCTTTTTAGGTAACCCCATTTGATAAGAAAGATGAGGCTACAAAGAAAAAGGTGGAATTTGCCACTGGGAATTCTGATCACCTGACCATGGTGAAAGCCTACCAGGTAGGATGATAAACAGGTCTTGGTTCACACTGTTAGGTCTCTAATAAAACATTGTTCTTTATTTGGCTCGTTGTTTTTGGATCAGTTCTTGAAAAGTAACATATATATGCAATTACAAATTTTGTGTAATTTACTTATCATAAATCAAATGAGATGCCAACAAAAGCTATTTTTGCTCTTATTATCAGGGATGGATTGATGCCAGAAAAAGAAGTCAGTATGCTGGATATAGCTATTGTCATGATAACTTCCTGTCTCAGAGGTCACTTGAGGTGCGTAATAACTTATAATATTTAATCTTGTTTTCTTGAAGAAATTATTCTGATCAACAGATGTAAATTTTGGCAATAGGTGTAGGGATGAATGGGATATTTTACCAACATGTATCTGAATATCCTGTACTAAATACTTGATACTGGAAGATAACCCAAATGTGCCACCATGGTCCAAATGACAGTTCTAGGTTTAAATACTGATATTATGGTCATCAAAATCTGTGTTAAAAGATATACACCCACTGGATATTTAAGTGTTATGTACAAGTTATATGTCACAGATTTATGATATATGACATAATTTTATAGATAATTAAGTTTTTTGAAATATAAAAGTTAATATTAGTTTATTCCTTTCTTATCTTCACACACAGAATTTACCATTCAATTTGCAAATTCCCTTTGAATATTGTCAGCATTCATCAAATCTTTCGTGTATATGGGTATGGTAAGAATTGACTGGACAAAGAAAGAATTGCCAGTATCCCATTGATGAATGTTAGACAGGAAGGTTCAGAAGAGCTATGTCAAACTTGTACAGACTTTGTTATTTGATGCTTATTACTGGAAAACTTTGCTTAAGAACCTCACTTGTCTTGTAGATGCTGGCGAGTATGAAACAGCAGTTTGTGGAGTTACTATCAGACATTGGTTTTGTGAAGGAGGGGATCAGTCAGAGAGACGTGGAACGTGCAGGTCAGAGGGGCTCCGACGGGGTACATGACATCACAGGTTCAGAGGTAGGTTGAGGGGATCAGTCAGAGTGGTATAATTGAACCTGAGGTAAGTTGTGGAATCAGTCAAAAAGACATGGAACATCCAGGTCAGGGGGGCTCTGAATGGGTGCACAGCATCACGGATTTACTGTGATTTTATGCAACTGTCTACCATTATAAGGAAAGCTGCTATTGAAACAATTAGTGATATGAAGTCAATGTTATATTTATTGCATTGTCTCAAAAAGTATATGATGATTTTGAACAGTGCATTCTTTCTTAAAGTATTAAGTTTGTCTTTCAGGCAAATATCAACTCCTCTAACTGGAAGATTGTTGCAGCCATACTAGTAGGTGCACTGTATCCTAATGTTGTACAGGTCCTGACTCCCGAGGCAAAGTTCAGCATGAGCAGTATGGGTAAGTATTATCATCTTCACTGAGCGTAGTGTTGAGGGAAAGAGAAAGTCTCGATATTATGAATTCATTAATGAATTAGAATTTCAAAAAAATATTTTCCTTTGTCAAATTTCTTTATTTAAATGTGTCTCCTATTTTAAAGGTAACAAATTTTGTGGTTAGAGTCCAGATGTTTTTCTCCTTCTGAATGTAAATTTTCTAATTCAGGTGCTATTCCGAAGCTTCCAAGAGCGGATGAATTACGATTTAAAACAAAGGGAGATGGTTATGTGAGTATGGTTATGAATCATCATACTGTTGAATCACATTAATTTCAGGACAAGATTTGTACTTTCATTTTAATCTATGTATACTTGTAAAAAGTAATTATGTTCTTAATGTTTAATATTAAATGTTTGTTAGTTCCTGGTGTCAAATAACATCTCTATACAAGTATAATTATGAGGTTTAATTTTCATATTAACCAAAGCTGATCTAATGTTGGTGAATTGATCATTGGTATGCTTCCTATCGGACAGTGGTAACCATATATAAACAAAAATAAGTGGACGTTAACATGAAATAAGTAATATGATGTTCTACTGTAACATGAAGATGTCATTGAGTAATTTCTTTTATCAAAACTTTATGTTTAAGATCCACATCCATCCATCATCTGTGAACTTCCAAGTGAACCACTATGAGAGTCCTTACCTTGTTTACCATGAGAAAGTCAAGACTAGTCGTGTAAGTAGTCAGGGCAGATAACCTTCTTAAAGACCTGTGTTAAACATCAGTCACTCACTGCAGGTAATATGAAGTCACCTGTCTTAAGGGTCAGTAATGATATAGTAACCTTTCTTAAGGGTCACCAACAATATAAAGTCACCTGTCTTAAGGTTCACCAACAAGATACGTATACGTATTTTAGGGTCCACCAACAATATAAAGTCATCTGTCTTCAGGGTCTCGAGTAAGAAACAGTTCTCAGTCTTCAAGATCACCAGTAAAGTACAGTCATCTGTACATGTGCTAAGGTTGTAAACAGTCACTTGTCCTACAGGTCATCAGTAATATAAAGTCACTTGTTCTAAAGGTCACCAGTAATACAAATTCACTTGTCCTAAAGGTCACCAGTAATACAAAGTCACTTGTCCTAAAGGTCACCAGTAATATAAAGTCACTTGTCCTAATTGTCACTAGTAATATACAGTCACTTGTCCTAAGGGTCCCCAGTTGTAAACAGTCACTTGTCCTACAGGTCATCAGTAATATACAGTCACTTGTCCTATGGGTCATCAGTAATATACAGTCAGGGTCCACAGTTGTAAACAGTCATTTGTCCTAAGAGTCCCCAGTTATATAAAGTCACTTGTCCTAAGGGTCACCAGTAATATAAAGTCATTTGTCCTAAGGGTCCCCAGTTGTAAACAGTCACTTGTCCTACAGGTCATCAGTAATATAAAGTCACTTGTTCTAAAGGTCACCAGTAATACAAATTCACTTGTCCTAAAGGTCACCAGTAATACAAAGTCACTTGTCCTAAAGGTCACCAGTAATATAAAGTCACTTGTCCTAATTGTCACTAGTAATATAAAGTCACTTGTCCTAATTGTCACTAGTAATATACAGTCACTTGTCCTAAGGGTAACCAGTTATACAAAGTCACTTGTCCTAAAGGTCACCATTAATATACAGTCACTTGTCCTAAAGGTCACCAGTAATATACAGTCACTTGTCCTAAAGGTCACCAGTAATATTGAGTCATTTGTTCCTATAAGTCACCTGTAATATAAAGTCATGTGTCTGAAGTGATTGTTAACATGTCTTCACAAAATGTGTAAAAGTTTTCTAATGCCCTGTTGCAGATCTATATTCGAGACTGTACTATGGTCAGCATTTATCCCTTGCTGTTGTTCGGAGGTGGTAGTATTAATGTAGACCTGGAGAAAGGCAATTTTATTCTATCTGTTGACGATGGATGGATACGATTTATGGCAAACACACATCAGGTCAGTAAAAATGGCTGCCGAATCCTTATAAGTTACAGAAATCTTTTAGTTAGTATCACTCCAGTCTTGGAACAGTCATTAAGTCCCAAAAGCTACACAAAATTAATTTTGTTGAGTCTATTTTATTGGTGTAAGATGTGTCTGTTAATAAAGATGTTTTCCCATTGATCAAGGACAGAAGACAGAAGATTATATTTGGCCAGACTATTTACTTACTTATAATATATTGTCTTCATTCCTCAGTTGTAGAAATAATGGAAAATAGATCACTTATGAAATACCAGCTACCTTTTTGGGATTGTTGGTCTTTCAGTTACAGGAAATGACAGAGATATGGTGTGTTTAACATTGCATTGTGGGTAAACAGTAAAACACTTTTCCATTTGGATTAGGTTGCTGAGCTTGTGAAGGAGTTGAGGTTAGAGCTGGACCAACTTCTGTCTGATAAGATACAGAATCCTCACATGGACCTTCTGACTTGTCCAAAGGGCAGTAAAATAATAGACACCATTGTCCGCCTCATCACCACACAGTGATTGCACACCATCATTGAGGTCACCTTTCATCAGGGAGAAATGCATTATCGTCTTTCCTTAAAAACCAAACAAGAGTGCAATATTTAACTGAGAAAAGTTATGGTTGATTAAAAAAAATGGCATGTTATGACTGTAATGTTGTAAAATATGAATACTGTTCATAATTCAGGTCATACCCATTTTAGGTCATTTGGTATGAAGAACATTTGTAGTATCAAATCATACAATGGTGCTTTATCCTATGTCAATTTATTTTTCCATCAACTTTTTGTATGTCTTCTTCAGAACCGTTAAGCCAAATGTCATGGTATTTGTCCTATGGTTTGCTGGACTACATTTCTATCTTGATTACACTGAATTACCTTGGCTCTCTAGTGAGTGATATGGATCAAATGTAGGGGCTCTTGTTTAAGGTATATTTTGATTGATTAGAAGTGAATGATGAAACTTTTCTGAACTGCCTTGGAGAAGTGTCATACTGCTTCCTTCAAATCCCTGTTTAAACAACACATTGTTCATGATAGGTTTTAAGAATTATGGGTGCTAATTTAAAGAATTTTAATTTCTTTCTAGAATGCATATTGTTTTTCTGCTTTTTGAAACTTTTACTTTTCCATTGTTTGCTTGAGATGTGTAGATATAATCAGTATTAGACAATATCTCCTGGAGTGATACACATATACATTTACATCATAGACCAGCTTGTTTACTACTTGGGCGATACACATATACATTTACAAAATAGACCAGCTTGTTTACTACTGGGGCATTACACACATACAGTTACAAAATAGACCAGCTTGTTTACTACATGGGCGATACACATGTACACTTACAAAATGGACCAGCTTGTTTACTGCTGGGCTGATACACATATACAGTTACATAATAGACCAGCTTGTTTACTGCTGGGGCAATACACACATACAGTTACATATTAGACCAGCTTGTTTACTGCTGGGGCGATACACATATACAGTTACAAAATAGACCAGCTTGTTTACTACTGGGGCGATACACATATACAGTTACAAAATAGACCAGCTTGTTTACTACTGGGGCAATACACACATACAGTTACAAAATAGACACATGTACACAGTTACAAAATATATACCACATACAGACCAGCTTGTTTACTGCTGTGGTGATACACACCTACAGTTACATATTAGACCAGCTTGTTTACTGCTGGGGTGATATACCACATACAGCTACATATTAGACCAGCTTGTTTACTGCTGGGGCAATACACATATACAGTTACAAAATAGACCAGCTTGTTCACTGCTGTGGTGATATACCATATATAGTTACATATTAGAACAGCTTGTTTACTGCTGGGGTGATATACCATATACAGTTACATATTAGAACAGCTTGTTTACTGCTGGGGTGATATACCATATACAGTTACATATTAGACCAGCTTGTTTACTGCTGGGGCAATACACATATACAGTTACAAAATAGACCAGCTTGTTTACTGCTGGGGCATTACACACATACAGTTACAAAATAGACCAGCTTGTTTACTGCTGTGGTGATATACCCTATACAGTTACATAATGGACCAGCTTGTTTACTGCTGGGACAATACACACATATAGTTACATAATGGACTAGCTTGTTTGCTGGTGGTGCAATTCATCAGTTACATAATGGACAAGCTGGTTGCTGTTTACTTCTTGATTTATCAACCCCTGAATAGCCTAGGTAATTTTTAGGTGGGATGTCTCCTGCAGCTGGTGACTATCTTACTGAACATCATGCAGATAGCCCAAGGACTTAACCTTATGTGTAAAGGACATGTCATTTTGGTTTGAGGCTATGATTGACTGTGATATTTATCTTGTATGATGTCATTTTTATTCCCCCTTCTTTTTATGATATGGGGTATAGACAGTGTTATAAATGTCATCTTGTCCCATCCTGTTCTCTTGTACTGCCTCCCACTTCAGATCCATATCATATCTTTAGAATTTTATTGCAGATTTGGTTCTTATCCAGTCCATATTATCATAACACTCATTTATCGAGGTTTACAGTGAAGTCTATCAAATCTGGTAACCTGTTGGATAATGCATATTGGTCAAGTTAATCAGTCTAATTTGACTCCTGGTTGGAGAAATCTTATCTGTTAAATTAACCTGTCTTATCTGACCCCTGCATGGAGAAATCTTATCTGTTAAATTAACCTGTCTTTTCTGACTCCTGGTTTGAGAAATCTTATCTGTTAAATTAACCTGTCTTATCTGACTCCTGGTTGGAGAAATCTTATTTGTTAAATTAACCAGTCTTATCTGACCCCTGGTTGGAGAAATCTTATCTTTAAATTAACCTGTCTAATCTGACACCTTGTTAGAGAAAACCTAGTTGTCAGGTGAACCTCTGTGAACATCAGAATACATTCATATATCCTAAATATAAATGGCAGTTACCATCAGAAATGGTATTTTAACCCGATGCATTTAGACAGATTGTCAAATTACTTGTATGTAGTGAAACCTGACTTTTCTTATATCCAGGCAATGTTGAAATTGTTGTTTCTATATAGACAGCATGAATTTTTAGATATTTTTATAAAAAAATGTGATTACATAACTGTTTAGGGTTAGACAGGTGGTCGGACTACTTAAGTTCCTGGTAAAAAAGAAAAAAGGTTCAATCTATTAATTACATGTGAACTTTTGATTTTATGAAATCAATAAAATAGGTAAGGATGTAGAGTGTAGAGTAGTTTTAGCTGGTGTGGCTAAACAGTGCTTTAACGATTATAAATCTGTGATAATAAAGGACGTATTTGAGCAGTTTTACTGAGTCTTAGTGCTCTTTTATTAACTTCAAGTTAGGCCACATCCAAACTGTTATGCAGATCTTTGCTATCAAGTGTGCTGAATTTTTATGCTGTTTGGAAAAATTAATACTTGAATTATTTTGATGTTATCATTCCTTGAGAATATAATCCAAAGAACAGCAAATCAGCTTGGAGTGGCTTAATTTTACATATTATTCAACATTATAAATAAATATGGGTACCAGTTTTCGCCCATAGAAGACTGCAAAAAGTAGATTTCTGTTGCTACCTGTTATATGGACTTGCAAAGGACTACATAGAAATAAGCAAAAAATTTCTTATTAGAAATATTCCAATTGACATTTTAACTCAGATTCTGTACTTGTAAAGGAGCAATATATGTTCCTTTCAATGGTATCAAGACAACTCGTACCCATTAGAAGACAACTCGTACCTAAGACAACTCGTACCCAAAGACAACTCGTACTCATTACAAGACAACTCCTACCCAAAAGACAACTCGTACCCATAGTGATTTAATTTCAAGAAAATTTTGATTCCAATTCGGGGCAACTCGTACCCAAATCAGGGTAGTGCTAGGTCCTTTTTTATTACGATTATAATTATTATTGGAAAAGATGGAGATGTCCATTTGAATACTGCATGGTAACAAGATGGATCCCTTTTTCGTTTTCTTTTCTATTATATTTTTATTGAAATAAGATTATGAAACAATTGAATAAGTTCCAGGTAATTTTGCGAGAAATTTGTACCCAAAGACAAACATTCTAGACAAACAATTCGTAGTCATATGTTGTTGTTGAGAAAAAAATATTAATTTGATTATTCTGAAATTGAAATTGATGAAATAATTGGGCCGATTACTAAAGAAGAAATTAAAATCACGGTTAAAAAATAAAAAAAAAAAGTATAGGAGGTGAAGATGGTGTTATTAATGAGTATTTTAAAATTAAGCCAGGAAAAACGTTACCAACATGTGTGTTTTTTTAAAATGTTATATTTGATACCAGATTTATTCCTAGTTGTTGGCTTCTGGGGACAATTAAGCCTATGTATAAGAATAAATGTGATATGAAGGATTGCGATAATTATAGGACAGTAACTATGCTCAGTTAATTTGGTAATTTTTTAACAGCGATATTGAATAATAGACTAAAATTGTACTCGGAGAGAGAGAGAGGAGATATTAACTAAAGCTCAAGCAGACTTTAGAAAAGGTCACTCTAGCATTGACAATATAATGTAATATAAATTGTATATATTTTCAGATTGTTGTGTTCATTATTTTGTTATTATAGATCTAATATATATTATATTTATTATATATTCAAAATACAATTTATATATAAATATATCATATGTTTTATATAATCTTTATTATATATGCAAAATACAAAATATACTTATATTCAGTTCATGTAATAACTATTATATAAATATTAAGTTCCGATCTGTGTGCGAGATGACTTTATATAATGAGTACAAGATGTCTCGTAAAAGGGTACGATTTGTCTTTGGGTCCGAGTTGTCTTGGGTACGAGTTGTCTTCTAATGGGTACGAGTTGTCTTGGGTACGAGTTGTCCAGCAATCCTTTCAATTACACATGCAAGTTATTTGTTTAAGATAAAATGAATTGACGAATACATTATATAAATATATTCATATTAAATCAATACCAATTTAATCAATTAAGCATAATTGTAGTTTCGTGTTAAGTTCTATTATTATACACAAGCATTAATCAAAATCCGGAAAAAGTATAGTCCGTAGTTGGCTTTAAAACTAGTCAAGATCAGCATTTTCCTGTCTGTAAAACTCGATATCACACGCGTAGCTAAAAGTAAAACTGACTCGAAATGGACTCAACAGAGGCTATACAGGAGTTGAAAAAACTTATTTCCGATGTTAAGCCATGTGCTGTTACAGAATTCCTTGGATGGATCCGGAGTAATATCGACGGTAAGACAGACTACACAAAGCCTCCAGAACACGTTCATACTGTTACAGTGTACGTTAATTTTGAGCACACCAGTATATCAACCATAGTTATTCATATGAAATATAATTAATAAAGCTATCTATCTATAAGTCTTACAATGATTATTTATCTGGACACAGGCAACGGATGCTTTATATGTCAGCCGATTTATGAATGTAACTATTATGTTTAAAAAATAAGACGAATCCTAAAGATTTCTGTGACCTGAATATGTACAGGCGAGTTGTCAAAATTTGAAGTAATGATATGGTGAGTTTTAGCACTCAATTCATATAAATAATATGTAATTGTATTTACCTCACTTTTGTGCATCCATTCATCTTGATTTTGAAAGGCTAAGACTAGAGGTTGGCATCACTGTTCAAATATTTTTTACTTAACCGAAATACAGTGTGATGTCAAATAGATTTCTTTTTATGACCCTGCCATTGAAAATGGGGAAGCATATAGTTTTACCCATGTACATCCTGTTCGACAGTCCGTCCATCCATCCATCAAGATTTAGTTTCCGCACAGTGATTTTGGAATGCCATAATAGAGCTAGATAATATTTTGCATATATGTTAAAATATGAAAAATCTAGCTTTAGTCAATGACCGTTCAGCAAGATTGCAAATTCTAAAACATCCTATTCTTAATAGTGTTAATATACTGTGTTTAACTGAGTCTAGTGTGTATGAAAATCAAATGGTTGATCACCATCATAATGGATGGACTTTAAATCTTCAAAGCAAGATAACTGTCATAGACTGATGTTTTACACAAGAGATGTATTAGGAATGAGGCTCATCCACACATAGAATTGGTGTATCTTTCATTGTCGTCTAATGATCACCCAAACTCCATTTGTCTTCAGTACAAATTACCACCAACATGTAAACAGTCTTTTATCAACGACATGTCAAACTTTGTATCTACTCACAGACCAGGCATTGGGTTTGGAGATATCAACATAAACATTCATACATCTTTCCATGAATTATTAAGACAAAGTTTACCAGATTGTGCACAACAAGTAAAAATACCAATTCACATCAGTGGATCAACATTAGATCAAGCACACTGAAAATAAATTGCTTAAACTCCAAGATTTAAAAAGACTGAAGTATCACTTGTATTAGTTTTTTTCTAATACTGTCAATGATGTTTCCCTACATTCTTTTCGTAAATGTCCAATGAACATGAAAGAAAATGAGAGGAAAATAGTTGTGGAGAAATGTTATCAAATGAAAATGTGTATATAGTTTCTTGCAGTGCAGCAAATTTCCTTGTAATCAAACCCTTTGAACACTCATTCTCTGTATACATTGTGTACTCTGATAAAATTTAACATAGTTAAGTTCCTCATTGCATGCCTTGAAAATAAGGTTTCAGTGCATTAAGTTCTTAAGGGTTTTATTCTTAATGTCATTAAGAAAATCTCTGTCAAGTTTTAATTTGCCCTTATTTTAAGATTATTCACTTCAGGTTGAATTTATTTTGACAGAGTTATTCTCCTTGCACCAAGATGATATTTGATAGAGTTATGCCCCTTGGACATAGATAATTTCAAACAGTTCTCATTTTTCAATTTTGTTCCCAGTGGGGTATTAATGCCGTACTGACATATCTATCCCCAGTAGTCTTTAAATACTGAGCTTTTACCACCATGATTTGCAGATATGTATGAGGAAGCAGTGGACAAATCAAGACAGAACTGTGACATCATGCTGGACACAATACGAGATGAAATAAGGGAAAGGTTACCTATCAACGCCACCTTTCCCACAGAGCGTATCCTTACACCAGTAGCTGGACCTGTTAGTATGATACCTGTAGAAATTACTACATACAACACTTCGAGCTGAACCTGTTAATACCATAACTGTAGACATCACTACATGTTAATTTATATGTGTAGAAATTACTACATACAACACTTAGAGCTGAAACTGTTAATACCATAACTGTAGACATCACTACATAAAAAACTTGGAGCTAAACTTGTTAATATAATATCTGTTGAGATTACTAATACAACTGGACCTCTTAGTATAATACCTATAGATATGCAATCATACTGGAGCATTTAAGATAATGCCTTTAAAGATCCCTACATGCAGCACTTGTAGGTGGACCAGATATGTTTCAATATGAAAGGGTATTATGTCATCCACAGAGCAATTATCTCAATTATAATCAGCTTTCTGATTTACAGAACTCAGACTGTGATCCTACCACTACTGTCCATGTAGATGCTTTCTTGTTTGATGATAATGTCATCGATGGCCTGTGTGATGATGGGAAGATGAGTAGAAACTATTGTCGGCAGTGTGGATCAAAGGAAATCAGTCCCCTAAGTTTGTACCAATTTTTAAAGTTAATAATGTCTTACAGTTCCTTAAGTTTGTAGCAATGACTTACACTCTGTTAAGTTTATAGCAAATTTTTTTCAGTCCAACCAATGGTTAACCAATGTCTTACATCCCCATCAGTTTGAAACACATGTTTTGCAGTCCTATCAGTTTTTACCAATGCTTTACAAATCTGTACCAATGTCTGACATTCCCCATTAGTTTTTACCTATATCTTACAGTATTGTGTGTTTGTACCAATATCGTAGACCCATCAGTTTGTACCAAATGTCTTACAGTCCTATCAGTTTGTACCAAATGTCTTACAGTCCCATCAATTTGTACCAAATGTCTTACAGTCCCATCAATTTGTACCAAATGTCTTAGGTTAATATCAGTTTGTACGAAATGTCTTACAGTCCCATCATTTTGTATGAAATGTCTTACAGTCCCATCAATTTGTATGAAATGTCTTACAGTCCCATCAGTTTGTACCAAATGTCTTACAGTCCTATCAGTTTGTACCAAATGTCTTACAGTCCCATCAATTTGTACCAAATGTCTTACAGTCCCATCAATTTGTACCAAATGTCTTAGGTTAATATCAGTTTGTACGAAATGTCTTACAGTCCCATCATTTTGTATGAAATGTCTTGCAGTCCCATCAGTTTGTACGAAATGTCTTACAGTCCCATCATTTTGTACCAAATGTCTTACAGTCCCATCAGTTTGTACCAAATGTCTTACAGTCCCATCAATTTGTACCAAATGTCTTACAGTCCCATCAATTTGTACCAAATGTCTTACAGTCCCATCAATTTGTACAAAATGTCTTACAGTCCCATCAGTTTGTACCAAATGTTTTACAGTCCCATCAGTTTGTACCAAATGTCTTACAGTCCTATCTGTGTGTACCAAATGTCTTACAATCCTTAGATTTATTCGCAACTATGCTTCAATTGCTAAAGTTTGTGATGCAATTTTTTTGACATTTATGAAAAATCTTGAAAAGAAGAGATATTAATTGTTGTATAAAGAAATGTATTGAGAATATATTAAAGAGATCTTCTTAACACTGTAACTGTATGACAGAAGTCTGTTAAGGTTTAATTTCTCATTCAAACTTACACAGCACTGGGACAGTGGTAACCAGGTACAATCGACTGGAATTTGTTCTTAAGATAGACACCTTATTCTGTTTCAGCCTTTATAACTCACTCTGCATCAGTGAGACAGATAAAATACATGTTTCAATACTTGCTACCTAATCTCCATGGAAAAGCTGTACTCGATGTTGGATCAAGGACTGGTGCAGTACTTTATGGGGTAAGACTGTTTATATCAGTTTTTATCTGTCAGGATCTTTACAAAAGTTTCTATTTCTTGTGAGATCAATTAAATATGTCTGCCAATTTTGTCCAAGACAATCTCAAACAATAAGATTGTTGAAAAAACTTGTATTAAATGGACACAAATATCATAGTGTAATCTAGTGACCATTTATTGTCATACAATCTTACTTTAGTTACTGTAAAGTCATTCATTTTTGTGGATATTAATTTTAGTTTTCAGTTTTCGTGGGGGATTAATTTTTCATTGATTTCATTATTACTGATATTCCATGAAGTCAGATGTCCATGAACCACTAAAATAATTACTGTATACAGAGAAATTTTTGTCGTCGTTTAATTTTCATCATTTTTGTCCATGAACAAGAAGGGCAAATTTACGATGGGTCGTTACCTTTTGTATAATCTTCAGAGGATGGAATGAATACATGGCGAATCCATTTATAATGGTACCAGGGCCGACATAATCTGGGGTGAAAACATCCTCTTATGCAGTATAAGTGAATTTGTTGAGTCAAATGTTTCCATGAAATCAAATATTCACGAAAGCCACAGAAATTGAGCTCCTCATAAATACATGATTCTACAGAATATTGTTATTTGAGTTCATATACAAATCGAAGTTCTATGATTAAAACACCAATCTTGTGATAACACTTGTCAGCCCTGCTAGGATATTTTAATAATGAACACAAAGAATTGTCATGTATGCTGTAGCTAATCAATATACATTTCATTCTTTTCTGAAGCATAAATATGAGAAAGCAAACTTGAAATATCATTTATGAAGCAACATCATCAAAACTTTTTTTTTGTGGGGAAACTTTTGCACAAAATTTTCTTTGTACATAGCATTAGAATTATTGTGTTGTGTAAGAAATGTTATCAAATATACATGTAATAGGAAGGAGCAATGAAAACTCCCTGCCCTGGTGAGATTCGAACTAGCGACCCTTCAGTCTCTAGCCAGACACTCTACCGCTCGACAAAGGGGAAATTCCCACTAGCTGAGGCTAGTAAGGTGACCTGCACTTTCAACTTCTACCCTTTCTTGTCCTTCACAAAGTCTTTAACCCTGAAGACCAAAACTACCAAGGTTCAATATCTCCAAGGAAGCATCAAAATCTCCTTTAGCTTCTACCCTTGGAGTGGTCAATGGCACCAAAATTGTAATAGGAATGAACAATGAAAAATATCCTGTCACTGCTGGGGTTTGAACTAATGACCCTTTGGTCTCTGGCCAGTCACTCTATTGTTCAGCTAAAGGGAAATTCCCACTAGCTGAGGCTGGTACATCGACCTGTACTTTCAACTTCTACATAGACAAACTACCTGTTTTTCATTTGGACATTTTTTTTGTGACATTAATCATTAAACTATAAAACATTTCTTTTTCAATCTAGGCATATCTGTTCAGTGATGCAAGTAAAATAGTTGGTGTGGAATTAGACAAAAGCTTTTGTGATCTACAGAAGAAGATAGTGGAGAAATACGAATTCAAAGATAGGATAAAGGTATGTTGCAGATCTCTCTACTGGGATGACCATCTTCAAAATGATTTTTGCTTTCTGTGATGTAACTTTCTGTGAAGGGAAAGAAAGCATCTTCTCCAGTTTTTCAAGAGAACAGGGAAGAAAGTTGAAATTGTTATCAAAAGAAAGTACAGATCAATGATCGTTCTTCTCCTGAACAACTACACATGTACCGAAAATCAAGAAGAAAGCTACAACCTCTGCATCAGAAACATTAATAACACAGGTTATGTGTTTTGTAGTGTAGACTTTGATACTTGTCTTTTCTTTTACATTTAATGTTTCTTGAAAAAGTAAGATATCATTGTAATTGAACATCCATCAATGAACTATTCATTTGAAAAATTTGAGTGCATGCCCTAAGACTTCGTCTCTTTATAATGTCTGACACTCTAGAAGAGATAACATGTTGTTCGGACAAGACAGGATATTGGACTACAGAGGTCTGATTGATTTATTTTTTTATTAGAAATTGAGTTACAGTATAACAAAGGAATATAAGGATGACAAACTTTCTCATTAGCCCCACCATCATCAGATTCTAGGCTATTAAAATACCTTACACCTGTGGTCTGTTGCCCGTCTGTCCGTAAACAATTTTTTGTCATCACTGTTTCTTGAGAAGTACTGGATGAATCTCTGTCAAATTTCACATGCTGATTCCCTGTGGTCTCTAGTTGTGTCCATATGATTTTAGGACTGATCAGAAAAACAAAATGGCTGACAGGTGGCCATCTTGAATTTTGACTTTACAAGTTTGTTATTGCTATTTCTTTAGAAGTACTTGATGAATTTTTCTTATGTTTCATATGTAGATTACCCTTGGTCCCTAGTTGTGCCAGTTGATTTTGGGTCTGATCAGAAGAAATAAAATGGCTGAAAGGTGGCTATCCTGGATTTTGACTTTGAAAGTTTGTTATTACTATTTCTTGTGAACTACCACAGAGATCTTTCTCAGATTTCAAGTATAGGTTCCTCTTGGTTCCTTGTTGTGCTTGTTTAAGTTTGAGACTGATCAGAAGAGCAAAATATCAAACAGGCAGCAATCTTAGATTTCGACAAGTAAAAACTGTTATGGCTATTTCTTAAGAAGTACAGACTGGATCTCTCTCAAATTTAATGTGTCTGTTCCCTTTGATCTCTACTTGTGCCTATTTGATTTTGGGACTGATCAGGAGAAAAAATGACTTCCAGGTGACCATTTTGGATTTGATCGGTAAAGACTATCATGACTATTTCTGCAAAGAAATTTTCAAATTTCTTATCAATAAGATCAAAAACAGAGAAGAAAAGAGACAAGAAGAGAAAAAATCAAACTTTCAAAGAGCAAATAAAAATCTAGCAATGATGGGGTGCCAAGATCCTCTGGAATCTCTTGCTGTAGTGTCACATGGCCACCAGCCCTTAATCAGTGGATAAAAGCAATCCATTTATCATTTTGTACATATCAGGAATCACCTGCAAGATATAAAATTGATGAAGCAGTGATACAGATATCCATTTCTCTTATGTTCCTGTGTCTCGGATTTACTCCAGAACTCATGCTCTCTTTAGGATGATAAAACCAAGAGACCCAAGTCAGTTCGCAGTGTATTCTAATATGAAAAATACACTAAATTCAGACATGCCAGTCCATTTCATACCTTTGATAAGATACCTTAATTATTGTCAACATAACTCAAACTTGGGTATTCATGAAAATCAAGACCACAAAGAATACTACGTACATTTGTATTAATTTCATATAAAAAATTCTCATAATTAGTTCATAATTTAAGCTCAGTACAATACATTATACTGAGCATTAATTTGCTGATCTATTATGATATACTTTAAACATTTTACCATCCAATGTATCTGAGATGTCACTGTCCTGTGTATCAGTTTGGTCATCACCCGGTATATATCGGAGTGGAGAGATTATCATCCTGTATGTATCGGAGAGATTATCATTCTGAGTATATTGCAGAGATTATCATCCTGTATATATCTCCGAGATTATCATCTGGTATCCTGTATAACAGAGATATCCTGCATATTGGAAACGATATCATGCTGTATGTTGGAGAAATTGTTTTTCTGTATCCTGTACATCAGAGCTTGTGTTTGGTCTTTGTAGATTGTGCACCAGAATATAATGAACTATCTACAGTATCTAAACAGATGTAAGTACAAGCTTCATAATGTACTATCATTCCTCCATACCATTTCAACACTGTAGTGGGACATCACATTGGTCAGATTATAAAGGAAATCATGATATACAGGCCATATTTGGTTGTTTTCATTAATATCCAATAAGTGTTATAACAGTGCAAATTCAATTCAAGTTTGATGTTTATGAATTAACAATAACTTTGATGTCAAATAATATTAAAGCATACAAGTCATTATTCAGATCAGAATGATTAAGGTGTTAATTTGTAAGGTATTCTAATAATATCATGGGCCTTTTTTCAGTTGATGTTATAATCCTCAATAACGTATTTGAATTCTTCATGGAAATGAAAGCTCAGAAGCAGTAAGTATAGATATTAACTGCTAATCACCATGACAGAAATATTAAAGTTATTTCACAAGGACATGAGAACAAGTGACATAATATGTGTGATTAGGTCTGTCCTTATATGATTGGGCCCATCATAATGTCATGTAATATCTGACATACGTGTGGGTACTTGTGGGTTAAGGAAAGGTGTATCATTCTGAAAATTAACCTTGTTGCATTTTCTCATACAGATACAAGTGTGTGATATATGAATTTCATGCTATGCGAAAGGATTTAAATAAGTAAACTCTGCAGTATTGCCCTATACCTTAATTGTATAAATTCATTCGAATATTATCATATTCACAAAACACACTCAAAGTAATTGATTGTATGAATTCTTTGGTCCACTCAGTCATTGATTTTGAGATTTCATTGATGGAGTCAGTCTGTAATTATATTTATCAATTAATCTCACCACTAAAACTCATTATATTTATAGAGTCTGGCAGTCACTGTATCAAAACATAAATAAACCTGGCACAATGTTGATCACCATTCCAAGTGTGAAGGAAAGTCTGCAAAATCTGCAGGTATGTGTTTATGTTTATTGGAATTTGCATACAAATCCATATCATATTATTCACCATCTGCTCGAAGAAGCTTTCATAGAAACGTCACTTACACAGACTTGACAATGTATTATCAATTTAAAAGTTTTTTAGATGAATTTCACACAAATGAAATTGATAAATCAAATACCAAAACAACACTGGCTATTCTGTTCCTGAAATGTTTGTAATTGTTTGTTATTATCTGTCAGTGTAAAAAGAGAATTATCATTATTTTTTGTTTTTGTATAACAGACGAACATAAATCTGTCCAAATGGCTGAAGGAGGTAGACATGTGTGAGGTGTGCAAAAAAACAAATATGTTAATGTATGGCCAGGAAGATCCAGACGACAAAGACCTTGCATCCATTCATCTGTACGAGGTCCTTCCCAGGACATAAAAGTCATCTTAATATTTTTGTCAAGATTATTGAACAGATTATAATGTTAATTGTAGCATCCTGCTTGATGACATTACTTAATATTCTCTTATAGTAGTAATGTTAATTGTATGACATCATTGTAATGAATACATATAAGGAAAGTCAGTATAGTTGTGATTGCCATATCAGTTCATTCAGTGAGGTCATCATATATAACATTACAATTGACATTAATCTGATTAGCCTGAAGAGAGAAATTTCTCAATAGCAAAACAAATCTAACATTTCTGAATCATTGACCCCGATGAATCACTTGTCATCATAAGTCCGTCTATTTCAGAGAAAATAACCTAAAACTCAGATGGAGTGTTTAATAGTAGTTTTCCCCTTTGATATCAATATAGGAGCCAAGTTTGTGTGCTATCTTTTCTTTAAAAGTCAGTATTCAATAAATTACAGTACTAGCAAATTTCATTGTGTGATTTGTTTTGCTCTCCACGGTTTTAAATTTAGGTTTCATTTGGTATTTTAATTACAGATAGAATTATAGGTTTGTACTATATTCAGTACATGCTACACCCAGAGTTAGTGTATATAAAAGGTATAGCTGTGGCTGATACCAACAATATTGATACATTTTTCAATCATCAATACTTTCCTGGTCTCCTAGTAATCATTATTAGAAAACAATTGACCAAAAATGTCATTGAAATTTTAAATCTTAGCAGTATAAAAACAATGTGTAAATAATGAAATTTTTATTTTCTGTTTGATTTGACCCTTGAAGTACATTCAAGGATGAGCCTAGACAATTTTGTTCAGGAGAATGATACCATTACTGCTGGTTAATATACTGGGTATTGTCATATCATTGATGGTCTTAATAACATGTTACCATAAGGATTTTTGGCTACAAGACCTGGCATCTGGCCTCTGTTACTATGTAGTCAAAGCAAAACAAAGGCTGTCAGCCAATTCCTATATTTCTATATTTTCCTATTTTTTGAAAAATATTCTATATTTTCAGGAAATTTGTCACTGATAAATGTAGAGGTTGTAAATTTTTCCTTGATACTGCTTTTGGCTTCTTTATATTACAGGTTAGAGAATTCTTAAGTCTTTGAAAGCATCGCAAGCCACCAGAAAATGATTCAGTGCATCTCTTTATCATCTTTATGGGCACTTTGCAAGGCAGTACAACAGAATATTGGCCTTTATGGTGCCCATTCAGATGATGATGATGATGATGAACTATGCAGCAGCTCTCTGCCTGGATTGTGATGCTGTTGAAGTGAATAGTTATTTTAAGGTAGTTTTTAATCATTGATTGATATAGAAACAGTAAGTGAAGGTAAGAATTGTTAGTATAAATGCCTTTGAATGAATCAATTTTCGTTTGGAAAACTCCTAATTTTTGCTTCAAAACTAGCAAAAAATTATATTTGTTGAAAAACATTCCTGTATTCCTCCTATATTTTGAAGACTTGGTTGACAGCCTGAAAACATCTACATATGTATTGTAGTCACAATAAAGTATCGGAATTCATTTGAAAACTTCAATATTTTTTATTATTAACACCACAAATAAAAACAACAATCAGCTATTTATACAGGTTTGTGCTTCCATGTAAAGTGAGTCTGTATATAAATGAAGATGTACAAGATGCTTATAATCAAAACAAATTACACTATGTTGAGGAGAAAGATTTTGTACAAAATATCAATATATGTAAGAAGACAAAGAGCACTTGATGAATATAATATGAAAGGTTTCTTTGTTAGATATACAGAAGTATCACAAAAGGATATCAATTTACAACAGTAAATTAAAAAAGACAAAAAAAAAACAAAAAAAAAAAGGATAAAGAAAACAAGCTTAAGTTCAACCCAAAATAAGTCATGCTTTTAAAATTCATTATTATGAAAACTTGCTGAAAGCCCCTGTGAGAAATATTTTCAAACCAAAGAAGGAAAATATGTTTCGGTAAAACTCTGCATGCAACATATAGATACAAAATTCCAACATTATGTATGACTAAGGTACAAAAAATACTTAGGAGTGTGCCATATATATAAAGGGGAAAATATCGGCAAAAGAACTCTCAACAGTAAATAGAATTTTTAAAATATTTAAAGTCTGAATGATATATTAAAAAGCAGGTGCGAAGAAAAACATAATGTGATTGTAAAACTATGTAATAATAAAAGATTTACAAAAATAGATAATCACAGTTTGCACAAGTCTATGGAAATGGCAAGTTAACCATTGTGAAGTAAATTACTAATACTGATTGTGAATAATAGAAGGCCTGTGATGAATTAAACCCTCATATGAGTGTGACAAAGGGATCTTTGATCAATAATACCAGTAACTTCCATACTGCATTAAATCTGGACGAAATCCACATAAGACATGTATATTCATATCACAACATGTTCATAGCATACCCTATATCACATTGTGTTTATTCAAAAATATCAAAAGTTCAATTCTTATTCTGTTATATCGCTAGCTCTGCGGAACATTAGTTCACTCTGGTATTTAGAGGTTTCGTGGTGGAAATCAGGCTGAAGTAATCTTGCCCTGCTTGGCATTTTGTACTTTCCCTCAACACGATTCCGGTCCTCCACATTGTAGTGCATCTGTTCACGTTTTTCTAAGAACATATTTTCATCATGTTCCACGTGAGGAATTCCTCCCAGCTCTGCATTCTGGAATACAATGAAATAATATTTCACTATCTATCATGTTCAATGTCAGGAATCTATTTGGTAACAAAGTTCTCATGATATTCAATTTCTGCCTTCCTGCAATGAATTGCCTAAAACATACAATCACTGCCATGTTTGTAAAAAGAATTGTTCAACAATTCAGTCAAACACTGACTCCTAGCTCTAAGTGATCTTGACTTTGTGCATCAACATATTTTTAAAGGTTGTAGGTAACCCTTCAGTAATTGTAAGATCTTTTATTTTACCAACCCTCCAACTGGTGTAAGAATTGCAAAATCTAGTATTTATCTTTATAGATTAACATATATGTGAGGTCAACAGAATAAATTGTTGATCAATTTATACTTCCTACTAAGATCTGAAAAGAAACAAAATGGATGATATCACCTCACCAATGGATACAGTCATTCAGGTTTTTATTTCAAAGAAAATTAATGTTATTTCTATTTTGATGCATTTGGATTCTATTATTCCTAACATATATGTACTTGTGAAAATGTCCACACCATGAAAAACCTCTTTCATTCAATGCATTTATAACAAAAAAAAACCCCAAAAAACCTAAACATATATGAAGTTTCATAAAATCAAAAGGAAGGAGCATGCTTCATGCTGGTAATTAGTTCTAAGCTTATCTATGGAAATGTAAAAACAAATCATGCTAGTTGGTATAGCTTGGAGTCAACATTATAATCTAATGCCATTTTTAGCATGCACATGATGAACATCAACTGAAAACTAGAAATATTTGTCCAACTCCTTAATATAACTTAATATGGACATCAAACAATATAACAAATAATATCATATGTTAAGTCCTGTCTTACTTTAATCCTTTAATGAGAGGCTCATTATCAATACAGTATATCATATATGCATGATAAGGTAGTTATACCAATTCATTACTATTTTTGTATACTACTTGAATTTTACTTCCAGAAGGGCATTACAAAATTAAATTCTCATTAAATGAAGAGATTTCACCTTTTTAATTGCTTCTTTTTTTCAAATAAAAGGATGTAAATATATTAGAATGAATAATTCAGGAATTTGCTGTTATGATAACATAAATTTCAGTTATCTGTGGCAGCCTACTGTATGAAACTGCTACAGTAACTGCAAATCTGGCAACCAGAATTGATGTCTGTGGTTAGTGATAGGCTATGCCTTCCTTAACATCTACAAAAAAATAGAGATGAAATTGCACAAAAGCTTGTCTTATTTATTGTTGTACAGAGATGTTTATGTAGCAAATTTAGATATCTGTATCGGGTACACAACATGCAAATTGTGGAATTAGTGGTTATAGTACTAATTATACTACTGTGATTATATATATATATGCTTAAACTAATCTACATACATAGTTCAATATGATAATTACACTGTATATAGATTGTTATCTATGTATATCTTTCTTGACATTTAAACAACTAAAGACATTAGCTACCACTTTAAGATATAATGGTACAATGTGTTGACAAGTAGTTGCTGAAAATTCCACCAGAACTGCAGTTTCCATGGTGATCAAATGCAACCAGTTTTTATAGGTTCTAAACATTTTTTATTAATCATCCAATGATGATCAACATGACAAAAACTCAGCACACAAAACACTTGAGTTAAACAATAAAACATGAGGAGTATTCTTTGCTGTAGATTAACTGGCACATTAAGCTCAAGTGTGTGCTTTTAAAAGCTCAATGTTCAGTTTACATACTTTAAGACATTTTAAACAAGATTTATTACCAATATGTACAGACTGAAGGTCTTTGTAAGTTTTAAGAATGATTTATACGTGTAATACTGCAAATTTTGTATGTGTTCAAGCATAGTATGTGATTGTTAATAGATCTAGACTAAAATGGAATGTTAATGACCTGTTCTGACAATATTCATGCTTTAAACTTACATACCAAGAATCACTCCTAGTGCAACATCCTCATAAAGGCTAGAAAATGGTATCATTATCAGTTACGAAAATAAAGTGTTCCAATGGATATGAGGCTCAGAGATTATAGATACATGCAAACTCTTGCCCTGAAGGGTTAATGTTGTTGAGGATTAAAATAATTTTCACACCAAAGTTAATCTATCAAGTCAAATTACAAAGGGAACAATACAGGAATTCATAATGACAAAGATTTAAAAAAGAAATTGCAAAAAGCTTTCTTATCCCAAATATTGCACTGTTTCTTTGTTTAGTAAAGTAATTTGACTGAAAAGCACTGCTTAATAGGCCTCAGATCACATCTGTACTATTAAGGGTCATATTGTACATGCTGGTAGACTTCACAGAAATTTCTGGTCAGTTACCAAATATTTTTCCAAGCTTACCTATATTTCTTTTTTATTTATTTTTTCTTTTCATGAAAACGAAGTACCTAATTGGGTTTAGTGACCTTTAAAATTTTAAATAAAAAAATATTCATGTTTATCTAGCTACGTGGAAAAGTACAGTGTAATTATTTTTAGGACTCAGTAGCTGGGGTCGAAATTCAACTGAAAATATTTTCTTAAGTGCAGATATTTCTGCCAACTGTAGGTTCATGCATCTTGAATTAATGTACAAAATGGTTTATAAACAAGATCCTTTACAAATTTCTATATTTTCATTTTCCTCTGGTAGAACTAAAGGAAAAATTAAAATTGTGGTCTGAGGCCAAGTATAAGGAGTTTGTGATACAGTAGTCAAGTGAAAAAGGAACTCATCATCACATGTTTAACACAAGTAAAACAAATACAGGTATGATACTGCATATATACCTTAACAATCAGCTCCCTGTTCTTCATATCGGTCTTCCATTCCTGGACATAGAGCCGTGGCACCACTGGATGGAGGCGAGAATATTCTGGTATCCTGTGAACAAATAACAATGATGGTGTGACTGGAATATACTGTTTATCCCTCGTCAAATAGAATGAAGGATGAAATAAATGGAGTGTACTGTTTATCCCTTGTCAAATAGAATGAAGGATGAAATAAATGGAGTGTACTGTTTCTCCCCTGACTGACAGAAGACAAGGATGAAGTGAATGGAGTGTACAGTGTATCCCATGTTAGAGTGAAAGATGAAATAAATGGAGTGTACTGTTTTTCTCCTGTCTGACAGAAGAGAAGGATGGTGTGTACAGTTTATCCCATGTTAGATACAGGGAAGGATGGTGTGATTGGAGTGTATTGTTTATCCCTTATCTTACAGAAGAGAAGGATGGAGTGAATGGGGTGTACTGTTTACTCCCCTTCTGACAATAGAGAAGGATGGAATGTACAGTTTATCCCATCTCCTGTCTGACAAAAGATCATGTGAAGGATGGAGTGAATAGTGTACTGTTTATGGTGCGACAGATGATCTGACAGGGACGGATAGTGTAACTTGGACATACTCCAGTTTTCCTTGTACAACAGTAGGAAAGGCAGATGTTTCTGTAGTGAACTGCTGAACCTGTTTGATGTTAAAGAGCGATGGAGTTTAACTCCTGTCTGACAGTTGAGAAGGATTGTGTAACAATAGCTTCTTCTTATCCCCCATATGACATATGAGAAGATGGGATTACAAGCTTAAATCAGATAAATAATTTGAACTTCATGGTAAGTTTAAAAACTTATTTCTTTCAGGTGGCGGCAAAAGGTGACATTAAGGCATTATATCAGTATTGTGGACACAGAAACAGTGACTCTTAAACATCAAAATTCCTATTACAATAGATGGATTACATTGTAAATGATGAATATTTATTTTGGTTTAAATTGAGTTATAGTACCTACTTGTATATAAATTACTCTGTGCAAGATAGCAACATGAATCATGGTAAGGAATCTATCTTGTTAGAAATAGGCATTTTTTGGTCAGAATGACTGAGTTCTGTTGGCAAACATACCACATATCGTATTTTTCTGTAAAATTGTGTCATTTACACCGACCATAATTGCCATTAGAATTTAGAATGTAGATCATGGTTTAATGGTAAATCAACTATCTCAGTTGGGTTTTTTCCAAAATGATGTTTTTTTATTTGAATATCCTAATTTGGATTTATTTAAATATCTCAAATGAGACAATAGTTTACCAACCCAAATACACAATATCAACTCGCAACAATCAGCTGATATGGGAACTTGACAGTCTTAAGCTTCTTTTGTAACCCTTGACAACCATATGCTCGTCTTGGGCCTCGCCTAAAATTATCCGATTTTATTCTTCAGCAAGTACACTGACGTCAACCCTTTAATGAAGTTAATAGAAAAATTGGACTTTCCTGTATTCTCTTACCTTGGACGACTGTACTTGTACAGACTTTCAGCGAATTTCTGATTTATATTTCTGCGCCCCAGATCTGCCATTTTCCCTTCTTACTGTCTGCTAACGTCTCGTGAATGTCCGAGACATCGCGAGACTTGAGATCATAACAGTCATGGCGGTGGTCGAATGTGTCACGACGCCAGCTTCAATGTTTTGCATCATGTTTTCGTGGAGAATACGAATCCAAGTATAATATTGCATGTGCTTTTTATAAAGATATGAAGTTGGTATGCAAAAATATTCTATAACTTTTCAATGCTTAACAAGTGATCGCTTTATTTTTCCGTTCTATATTTGTGTGATTCCACGCCTACAATGGTGTTGGCTGTTGCGATTCGTCTATTTTGATTGCTTATTAAGTTATTGTCACAAGCTTAAAATAGATTCTTTGTGGAATTTCATCTTTTAACTTCCTTACTTGTATGACTACAAATTTTGTTCATACTGTGAACAAAACGGATGACAAGATCGTCATTTTTTGGTATAGTACGTATACACAAGATGGACTTTTTCACCAGAATGATTTTGCACATCGAGGGATGTTATGGGTCTTTTTTGAAATGTTAGCTGATGGTGAAAATGACATCTCTATACGATGTATATAAGAAAGAAATTTACTTAATGTATCTACCCCCATTCATCCTTCCCAGAAAAATAACACCAGGATTCCGTGAAAGGAAATTATATATGGATTCTAAAATTGTTTTCAGCCACGGGAGAGAATTTAAGAAGGATAGTTAACTACTGATAAGTATGTTTCAATTTTTTATAGAACAGCATTCATGCATACACCAGTCCAAAGTTAATATTTCAGCTGAATCTGGCCATGGATTATCAGTGCTTTCATTATCATTTAACAATAGGGGTACAATGCAGGTCAACCCACAAATGTAACGATCTAAGTTCTGATAGCATGGTCATAGAAATGGACCAAGGCAAAAGTAATGTAGCTTGCCACCCCCTCAAGATTCTGGTTTTTATATTCTGTTGTGGAAATTATGTTAACTTGTTGTCTTTATTTTTTTACAGTGTCCATACTTGTACTGATGGAGGGTCATATTGTGAAGGAATTTCAAAATCTGCGAGTGTTTTCAAACAACAAATTCGTGAGGATGGATGAGCTGGTGCATGACCTGGCAAGTGCTCTTGAGGAGACAGCCAGAAGCACCAAGTCTCAATCCCGTGAGGGTCAACCCTCAGGGTCATCCTCCAAACGTTGCAGTCGAAAACGCAAAGGAAAGAAGCGCCGTACATTCATAGTTGATGGAGGAAACATCAGTGAAGCTTCAGAAAGTAGTGTTGAGGAAGCTCTGAAGGATTACATGGAAAACATTATCCAGCAAAGTGATTCAGATGATATTGGTATGTCATCAACAGTTGCTAGGTTGACGATGCCGTTGAATTTTAGTTACGTGCCATCAGTTGAATCTGATTCTGTGACAGAAACTTTTTCTCCAAGACGTCCTCAGCGTCGAAGGAAGAAGTATAAGTCTATGGCGGTGGACAATGATCCAGAAATGATGATGCAGCCACCTATGCATCCACCAAAGCCGTACCAGCATCACCATGGCAGTGATGGGGCTCTCAACAACTCATCTGTGGACCAGGAAGCAACCCTAGCACCTCTCACTAGCAAAGACAATAATGGACTCTTAGTCTCTGTGTTACCAGGGAAAAGAAAGAGAAGTTCCAAGTCCAGGACAGACTTTCCTTCCAGCAGCAGCAGCAGTCAGAGTAAACCATCCAAGAATGAGGATACTATGGATGTAGGCTCACAGTAAGTCTCTGTATTATATATTTTCATTTTATGAGGCCGTACTAAAAGTTGGCCCCCTGATAAATTCATATTTTGTTTTTTGAACATGTCTTTTACTAAGAGTACATTGAAAAGACCCAAAATAATTCTGCTGCCCCCATTGCAACGCTTTAGACCTTGATTTTGATTTCTTGTTTTTCAGTCTGTTCATTTCCTCTTTAGTTTATTTCAATTTCCACCCTCAGTTGTGTACATGCACCTGTTAAATTGGCATATGTTCTCATATGCATAACACATGTTCTTGTTAGAACAAACCCTGTTGGAAAAAAAAGAAAGAAAAAAAGCTGTTGCCTAACTGATTTAGATAAACAAAAATTTGACCATATGAAGATATTAAGTAGTCACTGGCTAGGAGGACTAATTTATAGGTTTTATATACAGACTAAGAAAAAATGTGTTATTTGGTGAAGGACAGAGCCCAGCATGGTAAAGTAAGAAAAATAATTTAAATATAACCAGTGCCAGTACTCCTTAGTAATTGTTTTTCCAAACGGATAGATTTCATATCTTATTATGGGTTTCATTTGCTGTCCTAAAGATGATTTGCCAGATAACAATTTAAGTATTGAAAGAGAAGTCAATACACTATATGAACATCCGAATTGCAAGCTCAATGATTTATGATGAAATGATCATGAACACAGTTTTTTTTTGCATGAATGGTATTATCTGTGTCAAATAAATCATATATTTATAGTTAATACACATGGCCATTGTAGAGAGAGCAGCTCAAGTCTCAGCAGTAGTGAGAGTGATGGTCTTATCACCAATGATGAAGGAAGAGAAGGTAACTATGTTTGTTTCTTAAGCATATCTTGAATCCTGAATGTTTGTTTGATTTTAAGACATCATTTTTGGATTTTAGTAGACCCTTGAGAGTAGGTTTTTGACTCCCGAAAATTAGTTTTTGATTGACTGTTGGATTATGGAGGGATATGTCAATTACCTGTATGTTTTGACCCATCAGATTTGTTATTTAACCTCTGAAATTGCCTAATTTCTAGAATTTGCTAAAAGGATAATTAATTGCTTTAAGAAGTACCAGAATTGAAAATTGCTCTTTCAGCTGATGATGAGCAGAGTGATTTTTTCTATGAGGGTGGTCCAGCGTGTGGAATTCCTGGTATTATTCCATGGTGGGAAAATGATGCAGGTCATCGAGAAGTTGAGTCAGATAAGGAGTTTCAGCAAATACTGACAGGAACATTTGAACACCTCTCCAAATCCTCACAGATGGCATTCAAAGCCAGAGTGTCCAGGCTCATGGCAAAGGTGACAAGAATCTTCCTGCTTTCTGTATTTAAAAGTAAAAAAAAAAAAAAAAAAAAATCCTAGCTGTCTTTAGTTTAAGAAAGCATAATGATAAACTGAACCTATTACATTTTTAGCAATGAATCTAGGTAATCTTCATTTTATTCTCACTCTTTACGACAACAATGTCTTTCTGTTTTTTCTTAGTCTGGCAGAGAAATTCGCTTTGGAAGAAGAAAGTTGAAAGAAAAGGTTTGTCTTTGCTTTCTCTCAATGATTTATAAGATAATAATGATGAATGTGTGCATATTGCCTTGAATTATGATAAATAAGACAGGTACTGCAGACATCATTTGAAACAGCTTGTTTGAATGCAAGTCACCAATCTTGAGATTTGCAAACATCTTTGAATATGATGATCTGTTCTGATGTCACTGATGCGAAGACACAATATCATTATTGAAGCTATTCATATGTGCTGTTTTGATAGTGAAAATGGAATGAAAGTTTTAGAGAAGTGTTGATTTTATTACAGAATTATCTGTACAAAACTTTGGAGTCCACATATTTTCATTGTTATGAAGAGAGATATATAGGTTAATGTGACCCAACATTGTGGACAGGGCAGTGAATCTTTGTGATATCTCATTTCTTAGTGTTTGTTAACCTGCATAAATCTTGATTATGCTTATTTGCTTTAGCTAAAATTTTTATGTATTGCCAGCCCCATACAAATAAAACTTTATATGGTGTTCAAATTATAACATACTTCTTATGCTCAAAACATCAGAGCTAGAGATGGTGATATTTAAGTTTCTTAGTATGTTTATTATTCCTTCATTGTTAGTTCTTTTAATTACATATAAGTTTGTACAATTATTTATTTAACAGCATCCTGGCTATACAGTGTCAAGATTTCTCCAAGATCGACAAGTATGGAATTCAATGCAGGGAATGATTTCCCCTGCCTGGCAGTCTAGTAACAACACAAGCTCCTGTAACGATAACTCAAAACGTCGCAGGAATACACCCCCACCAACACCACAGACTGAAGGTAGCTATTTACCTCAGAAACCACATGCCTGCCCCTACCAGCAGCTCCACCATCACTTTTTCATAACCTATTTTATATCTGCAAGAAATTGATAGGACTTTCTCTTTGGATAATATGCCAAATGTTTTAGACCTATTTATTATGACAAAATGAAGAACCTTATGACTATTTAGCTGAGCATGAAACCCATATCATTCCATGTCATCTTGTGAAGTTTTTCCAAGGCCATCCTTGCTCAAGTTTATACTATCCTCTGTACTATCATGTACCTGGTAACTCCAAAGTTTAAAACATTTTTAAAACACTTTGTTATGTGGAGTTGTTTGAAGTATTCACATCACATTAAGGATATTTTGAATACTGTTTAGTATTTTTACAATCTGAATAATAAGATCATTTTGTCTACAGGTTTCATTGGCAATGAGGCAGAGCCTATCCCTGATTCAAACTTAGGCAGTAAGATGTTACAGAATATGGGCTGGACACCAGGATCAGGACTGGGATCAGACGGAGCTGGCATTAAAACTCCAGTCATGGCCTACCGACGGCCAAGGCGTCAAGGACTTGGCTGTCGGACAGCTACAAAGCCATCTGATCATTAATGACTTGTCTTGGGTGTATGTGATGTTTTAAAGACAGTAGATCAGTATATATGCACTGATGCATGGTGATGTACTGTCAGGATGTTCCATGATATATTTTGAACTGCTAAAACATAAGGAAGTTATGGTTTTATTTTGTACAATGTACAATTCATGTTGGTAATAATATTCATGTTCATTATGAAATAATTATTCATTTGTTTTGAATGTAGAAAAACATAATTTCTGTATGTAGTGTATAGGTATATCTGAGAGGGATCAGTCAGAATCCATGAACATGAGTAATCTTGTTTTTAATCCTGAAGTAAATAACACAGCTTTTACCCTTGTTATGATAATGTTCACGAAGCAGGACTTGACTGAGTTAATCACTCTTTTGTAAATTTATACCAAACATAAAATCAAACAGAATGTAGGGAATGCAACACATGTCAGAAGATTTGAGAATGACAAGCTGGTCTACTGTAGGATTTTGTTCATTTGTTAGGTTTATCGCTCCATGAACAAGTCATTTCAAGATAGGACTTTTTATGAAGCCGCTGGCTACCTCACTGAACAACATACGAAAGGCATGTTGGATGCTATCAAGAGCATTTAGGGTAAAGTGTCTTGTCATAGAACACAGCCATACAAGCACAGATCAGTTCATCTCTCAGATTCTTTCGGTAAAAATCCAAATTGATAAAGATGGTGGCAGGGAATCAGATTTTGTTGTGATTAAATTGTCTTAAACTCACCATTTTCAAGACTTAAGTTCACTCAGAAATTTCCTGTTAATGAAAAATCACTTATTGGTAGAAAAGTGATGTTTTACCTTCATGCCCAAAATTTATGTTAAACCATCAGTCAGACTGTGTAAGATAAGATATTGTTGAACCCATTCAAATTATGCAAATTATGATGCAGTATTTAAAAATGTCCTAGATAGCAAGACAAAAGCTACCAATTGGTAAATACACTGGCATGTTTGGAATACCCTGGTATTCAAATATATATCAATGATAATATGATTATCTTTTGAAACTTTTACATGTTAATCAACAGTTAAGAAATCGCAGTTCCATTTTGTTCTTCATCATATTGAATATTGTGATGAAGAAGCCATGCAAGACACAGGGGCCTGCAAGCCCCCCAAAAAAGCATGTCAGCTTGTGTATTGGTAGAAGTAAGAATTGATATATTGCAAAGAGTGGATTTAGATTTAATGCTTTGGATTAATGTTTATTAAAATCATCAGTCTTCCAGTTAGTTAGAAATAGCCTTGGTGGAATTTACTTACCGAAATGTATAGTGGAACACTGTTGCTCTTTGACAATACACATGCTAACATTCCATTCTCCATATACTGATAGCTTGTAATACAGAGTTTGGACCTCATATTATGTCAGATGGCATTAGTATGATGTTACAGCAAGATGTAAAAGTGATCACCCTAAATCAATACTAAATAAATGGCATGGACGTGAAAAATTGGTGATATCAGTTGCTTCTGGTGGTCATTTTCAACCCTCTATCCTCAGCTTTTACCATTTATGTGAATACTGACCTCATGGAGCTTTGTAATTTCAATGCCAATATCTTATCAATAGTTAGATTTATGCATGATCTCACCATGTGTTAAAAGATTCAAATTTGAGGTTCAAACTATCAATAGGTAGAAAATGGTTGTTTTTTTTAGGGATACCGCGACATACGTCCTCTGTCAACTTTTACTATATATTGCAACTATTCATGAAAAAGGGAGTGGATTTTAATTAAATTTGGTCTCTGAATTTGGTGTAAATGGTGGGTCTGCCCCCCCCCCCCCACTCCCTCTTGGTCTTTAGGGGCAGGCCCAATAGGGAAAAATCAATCAATTTCCTTAAAATCTATCTTGTTCTTAAGGAAGGGTAGGATATTTTCCAAATTTAGTCTGAAGCATGCTTGGATGAAGGAAAATCAGTTATAAATGGTAGCTTTCAACCCCCTGGGGCTAAAGGGGTGTGGGCAATAGGGAAAATCTATCAATTCTTTAAAATCTACCTTGTTCTTTAGGAGTTGCAGGATTTGTCCAAAATTGATCTGAAGCATGCTTTGGTGAAGGGAAATCAGTTTTGTTTAAACAGTGGGTCTCGACCCCCTGGGACTAAAGGGGTTGGGGCCCAATGGGGAAAATCTATCAATTTCAGTAAAATCAATCTTTTGTTTTTTTTTTTAATTGCAGGATATTGTCCATTTTTCATTATCAAAATTTATTTGGGTGTTTGGTTCTTTGAAACATTTGAATAACTATAGCATTGCTCAGCATCAGATAGTAAACACAATTATAACTGATAATTTGTCCTGGGGTCTGGTCCCAACTTAGGACAGATTATATCTTTGAAGCCATTAAGATTACCATCCTATAACTTAATAGCATTGCTGGACATCAAGAGATTAACAACTGATCTCTGTCAGCACCCCTAGGAAATTTGAAGCTGTATCTGTAGGATGAAGCTCATCAGGGGAAATATTTTCCTTTAAAAGAAATGTGAAGTTCTGCATTATTGACCTAAATATCCAGATGAGCGATACCAGGCCCTCTTGTTCTTTTGTTTCTTGTTTTGTTTTTTGCTCACCTAGCCAGAAGGGCATAGATGCTTAGAGTAGTGATATTTGACTGGTATGTTCCTAGGATGAAGCCTGAGGAAGTTTGCAAAAAGATTTGACCTTGACCAATTTTCAAGGTCACAGGGGTCAAATTTGTTAAAACATTTAAATTACTTCTTCTCATGAACTAATAGGCCAAGAGGCATTATACTTGGGTGGTATATATATACCAGGTGAGTGCTGCAGGCTCATTGGGCCTCTTGCTCTTTAATTCACATGTACAAATTACCTACCTATTCAAATTAATCAGATAGCCACTCTATCAAGATGTTGATATTTAGAGAAAGTTAGCATAGTGTGCATCTAGCATGAATTCAGATGTCAGAAAATCTATTTGAGATATCTGTAATTTGTACTTACTAATTTGAAATCCTTTTACTTCATACACTTATTGTATGCAAATGTGTGTTGGTGTGATGCTATTTATAAGAAAGCTTAAGTAACATTTTTTGGCAGCAGCCAGATGAATTCTGCACATTACCTAGTATGTATATTTTTGTACATATTACAATGTGTTTGTAAGAATCATGTGTCTTTTATTCTTATGCTTTACAGCTTGGAAATGGTTTTGATCTGAAGGTTTGGGGTTCTGATCTTAATTAGAAATTTATTTTAGTTTTATGAAGGTCCCTAGAGTGTACTCAGTATTTAAGATGTCTTAAATAGTATTTCCTTCATACAATATAAATATAGACTTCTTGATGATCTTGAATCCCCCTCTATACCTACAAAACACTCTCAAAATTATCAAGAGATATTGAAATGTATAGCTGCTTATAATGCTAGAATAAGATAATAGTATTCTGTGTTAAGTGATTTTTGTAATCTTTTCTCCTTTGTGCCGATGATGAAAAAACGTAAACAACTTCTGATTTTTCTGTTTTCCTTCTTCCCATAACAATGGACAGTTATTTTGACTGCCATAAGTTCAATTTTTTTTTGCACACTGATAATGTCAGTGATAGATTAAGTCCAGGTAGATGACAGTGGGAGATACATATTCGTTGCACAGACTGCTGGATGATCATGATAATTTTCCAGGTCTTCTGATTGGTACAATGTAAGGAGCATAGCGCTGTGTCATCATGGTAATTATCCTGATCTACTGATCGGTACATTGTAAGGAACGCAGTGCTGTGTCATTATAATCATTATCCTGATCTACTGATCGGTACATTGTAAGGAACGCAGTGCTGTGTCATTATAATCATTATCCTGATCTACTGATCGGTGCTGGGTAAGGAACACAGCAATGTGTCATTATAATCATTATCCTGATCTACTGATCAGTGCTGGGTAAGGAACGCAGTGCTGTGTCATTATAATCATTATCCTGATCTACTGATCGGTACATTGTAAGGAACGCAGTGCTGTGTCATTATAATCATTATCCTGATCTACTGATCGGTGCTGGGTAAGGAACACAGCAATGTGTCATTATAATCATTATTCTGATCTACTGATCGGTACATTGTAAGGAACACAGTGCTGTGTCATTATAATCATTATCCTGATCTACTGATCGGTACATTGTAAGGAACGCAGTGCTGTGTCATTATAATCATTATCCTGATCTATTGATCGGTGCTGGGTAAGGAACGCAGCACTGTGTCATTATAATCATTATCCTGATCTACTGATCGGTACATTGTAAGGAACGCAGTGCTGTGTCATTATAATCATTATTCTGATCTACTGATCGGTGCTGGGTAAGAATCTTGTCAGGGAGATATATTTGAATTTCTGTAGGTATGTACATGTAATCGATACTTAAAGAGTATCATGTGATGGTGAACATGACAGTCTAGTCTAGAAACAACCATCTCCAGTGTTTTATTGGTTACATATATAAACCTGAAAACATTTTGTACTGAAAGTTGTCAGCTTGATGCAGAGTTGGATATTATAGACATATATGACAATTTCCATTTTGTTTAATTTATTCTAATGAAATTTGATATATTTAAATGTATGGAATGTAACATACTAAGTCTATGTTAGTTTACACTGTACACTATCTATGTATTCCTCCAACTCTTGGCTCAGAAATCCTATGTGCTATTAAGTCAACTGAGATGGGAAATTTGCAGCCATATTTTATGCTCATTCAAATATCTGTTAATGTATCATAAATATGTAGCTAGATCTTGTGTGTAATGTTTTCAGTAAGTGCTATACACTAGGTGAAGTTTTGAATGTATCTATACCTGTACAGTTGTATTAGTATAATCCTGGTATTTTCTTGTTGGGTACTTAGTGCACTGTTTTTAAAGTGTTTGCTTGATTCATGTTTCTATTGAGAAATAAGTATGATGAAATTATTTGGAAGTTTTTGTCAAAAACTGTGAAGTATATTAATTTTTTTACTTTAATATTCAAGGCTGAGATGAATCTGTTACTTTAATCATAAATCAGTGCACCAAAATATACTTCAGACAACATCCAAATCTGTTGTATTGCACCGATATGTATACACAAGTTTTTGATAAGGTACCTCAGGAAATATTTTTAAAATGATATTTTCTTGCCTAATTTATGAAATATAACTTGAATTTGAATAACAGGGTTTGTAAATAAAAATTGTTGAGAATTTGTTTCATGCATTCTTGCCAAATTAAGAAACCACTCATTATTTAAATTAATGGTGCACTGGTAAAAATTTGTTTGAATTATGAAAGAAAAATTAATACCCTGTATTTATGTGTGTATAATACAAATTTGGGTAACTACTGTGCTAAATTATTGCAAGCAGTCTATATGAACCTTGGTATTTAGCTGTATTTAAAAGTGTTGAGTGCAATATGCGTTATTCAGGTAAATAGATGTGCTTTAATGTCTGCAGTGTGCGACATTATGTATTTTTCGTGACCATTTTACAAATCTGACGTATGGTCACAGTATTTATCTCCCAGCCGTTAAGTATTTGATTTATTTTGTGGGGTATGGTAATTATCCTGATTTTTCTTTCAGAGCATTACAACATGTTGTTTTATTGATTTTAGACTCATATATAGAGATTGTTGATTCAGTTAAGTTTACTAGAGATGCATGCAATGTAAAAGCATGGATATGTAGGTTACTGCAGTAGACATTATATGGTTGTATTCTGTCAAACTTTATCCAGCAGAATTGCCATAATCTACTGGAGTTGATGTTCCTTACAGTCACCAGGCACATGTACAGTATTGTAGTGCAATCTGGGAGAGATTGAAGAATTATCACAACATTGTAATAGGTCTGGGTAATAATGAAGAGAGATTTATGATATAAGTGTTTAGCAGATACATTACTGATTGTCAAATATGGTCGAAGTAATAGGAATATCAATCAAGAGACAATACAGGTATATATCTTTAATTTTTCAGTATTTCAAAAGCAATCAATCCAATCTTTGATCAATGGTGTGGAACATTGTCCTTATAACTGTTATAGTGCTGTCTGATGTGGTCTGGAATTCATACCCTACCAGGAAGAATTAATTTAAAGTCATCTGATTAAGTGTTTCTGTAATTCCCGACGGCAGCACGTTGTCATTAAGAAAACATTCTCCATGTTTTGTAATTCATAAATGTATATCTACATTGTAATTTTTGTGGATTGTTATTTAATCTATTTTCTGTGGATAATGAAGGTTGACGATGAAGTGCTAACATGTCAATTTTGCAACATTTTTGATATGATAAGCACTTTTTAGCTCAGCTGAACCGAACCGCCAAGTGGCCTAGCGTTCGTCATCCAGCTTCAACTTTTTGAGTCTCATGGTGATCTATTCTAATCACCTTCATCCGGCATCGTGCACCCGTAAACAATTTAAATTTTTTACTTCTTATCAAAAACCCAGGATCCGATTTCATTGAATTTTGCAGAAACCTTTCCAGGCCTAAGATGAACCAAAATTGTGAATTATATGAATTAAAAGGCCACAGGGGTCAAATTTGTTAGAACCTTTAAATGACTTCTTCTCATGAACTAAAATGCCTAGAGGCATAATATTCTGCCAGGATATGTTCCTAGGATGAATCTTAAGTTCCAGAAAGGAGATGACCTGGGCTTATATTCAAGAATACAGAGGTCAAATTTGTTTAAACTTTCAAACCACTTCTCATGAAGTAAAAGGCCAAGAGGCATGATATTTAGTTGGTATATATAACCAGGTGAATGTTGCAGACCCATCGTGCCTCTTGTTTGTATTAGTTCAACTAAATTCGCCGAAATCATGTTTGAACTACAGTAAGATTTAGATTAATTATTGTTATGTCAGTGATGTAAACCTATATCCAGAGAGATGAAGTTTTTCTGTTAATGTCTGGCATGCAAATGGCTTATTTTGTTTGAAATAAAATAAGTAAGATATTCAGAAAGAAGACTTTATAATTTGAAGTTCTTGTTGACGTCATGAATTCACGATGCACGAAATTCTTTATAAACATAGATTTTGTATTTGAAATCATTGTAGTGTCCTGTTTTCAATTCCACATCTAGAAGGTTGAACGTCTGTACAAAACATGGTAGAAATGTTTTAAATATTCTCTTGAAAATGACCCATTTTTCATTTTATTTAAATCTACTTTAAATTCATTTAAATTTCATTGTCTCTTTTTACTTGTGAATTTTTACATGTATGTACAAGTTTACATCAATTTAGGTAAATAAAGAAAAGGAAATCTGAAAATTGTAGTTTATTGTCTTCTTGTAAAATAAGTGGTGTATATGGTGAACAATTACTTTAGATTTGTATTCATCAAGGGAAATACATCTGATGGATGTTTGTAGCTTATAGAAGAAAATTTTACATCAATGAAGGTGTTAGTTGATCAGCTCCTTTTTTTTTCTTTTTTTGAGAAAAAATGCTCTGCGTCTTGTTCGTCCTTGTGTCTGTCCATCCAGCCATCCATCCATCCATCTGTAAACAATTTTTGTTAACGCTGTTTCTTGATAAGTAAGAAATGGATCTCCCTCAAATTTCATATGTAGGTTCTTCTTGGCCTCTAGTTGTGTCCATGTAATTTTAGGAATGATCAGAAAAACAAAATGGCCAAAAGGCAGCCATTTTGGATTTTGACTTTAAAAGTTTGTTATCACTTTTTATTGAGAAGTACTGGATGGATGTTTCTTAATTTCATATGTAGGTTTCCTTGGTCTCTTGTTGTGCCCGTTTGGATTTGGGTCTGATCACAAAAACAAAAAGGCTGACAGAAGGTCATCTTGTATTCTAACTTTAAAAGTTTTGTAATTGCTATTTCCTGAGAAGTACTGGATGGATCTTTCTTTAAAAATTCATATTTAAGTTTTCCTTGATCCCTAGTTGTGCCCATCAGATTTTGGGACTGATCAGAAAAACAAAATGGCTGACAGATTGACATCTTCGATTTTTACTTTGAAAGTTTGTTTTTGCTATTTCTTTAGATCTACAGCATTGAACTTTCTCAAATTTCATGTGTATGCTTTCCTTGATTCCTAGTTGTGCCTGTTTGATTTTGGTACAGGTCAGAAAAAATGAAATGGCCACCAAGCGGCCATCTTGGATTTTGACTTCGAAAGTTTGTTATCACTATTTCTTGAGAACTACTCTTCTTTCTCAAATTTCATATCTAGGTTCCTTTTGGTCCCTAGTTTTGCCTATTTGAGTTTTGGACTGATCAGAAAAACAACATGGCCGATAGGCATCCATCTTGGATTTTGCCTAGAAATTCTGAACGGATATCTCTCAAATTTCAAATGTGCTCAAAAGAAAAGAGAAAAAAAGGTAAAAGATCCAATTTTCAAAGAGCATACAAAGATCAAACAATGGTGGGCTCGAAGATTCCTATCGGATCTCTTGTTTTAGTGTTGAATTTAATTTTGTATATTGTGTGGACATTGAAAATAACCACCAGATACTATATGGCTTATTCAAATATTAAAATTTCATGATTTGAATGCAAAGATAGGAGTTTGAAAGCAGGATATGTTAGGAATCTGGACACTTTAAACTATGAACTTGACATTTCATTTTTAAGCAGTTTGAAATATACTGGATATCAAAACACATTTACAGCCAAGGGTGCTTTTGAAAGTACGGAGATAACAGTTAGAAAAAGAAAGTGGTCTAACACAATTTTGTGGAGAGAAAGAAGGCAAATTTCCATTAAAAGTAAAGTGTCCTTGACCTGGAGATCCTAACATACAAACTTGTCCAGGGTATTGTGGTAGTCAACCAAATAAAATGACAAGGGCAAAAGAAAGGGAAGACAAATGAAATGAATGACCTTGACCTACTTTCAAGGTCTCATGTCAAATATGACTTCTGCTCAATAAACAAAATGTACAACCTGCTGATATTGAGTAAATAGTATCCTAGTATGAAGTGCTACCAAGTTCATATCATTGATCTTGACTTACTTTCAAAGTCACAAGTGTCAAATATGTCAAACTCTTTGAACGACCTCTCAATAACCAAAATACAAGAATGCTGATATTGGGCCTGTAGCATGCCGAGACCTATATTCAAGGTCTCTTGGGTCAAATGAGTTGAGGTCTTAAAATATCTTTTTCAACAAGCAATAGGTCTGGAGTAATAACATTTGTGTGTATCAAGAATAGGAGTTTGCTGAAATAATGATATTAACCAACAATGTCTTCTTTTTAAGCTGTAGAGTAGTTAAGCAATCTTTAAGGCCTATTTGGCCTCTTGTATGTTTAGGTCTTTATAGTCAGATGACAGTCAAGGCCCATGAGCCTCTTGTTTTTTTTTCTCGTCTTTTTCTTTATAATGAGTACCAATACATACAATAATTTCTAAATTAACTATTTATTCACTCAGGAACAGAACAGATCATAGTGAAAATGATAAGTACACATATGTAAATCTCATGTCTTCAAAACCTTGTATATTACATATAAATCAATTTTAATAGTATCTGGTATAGGTACTTATATTCTGTAATCCCTGCATATAAATATAAGCCTTTATATACAAGATTTCTGGAGAAAAAATGTTTTTCTTTTCTAAATATCTCTATCATTTACCTTAATTATCAAGTAAAAAAATGGTCTTGGATGGGCACTACATTGCCTTTTTAGTAATATACAGATGTATTGTAAAGAGCAAGTTCACACCTAAAAAACCCACTAATACTGTAACTTGCAGTGACTTGACACTCAGTTTGTAATATATAGAAGTGTGACATACTATCAAACATCCTTCAATAATCACATTTAATGAAGTGATACATAATACTTTTTTGTTACAGTAATTGGTGTTCTATTCAGTCCTTGTCATATCACATCATATTCAAATAGAAACCTGATAAATAGTTTGCAGAGACAGAAAGAAAACTTGAATTGTTGGATCAAGGAAAAATTGTGACTTCGTAACATAAATGACATGTGGAGATAACTGGTCTAAGCTGGCTGAATTCTGTTTATGAGCTGATTTATTCATCAAATTACAGTCCAATATTTACAAATGCCCTCGTAATATTAAATCATTAAACTCATCCAGCTATTCGGAATTAAAACCCAGCTAAGTGGCAAATCATTTTATTGGAAGAGTTTAATCAATTCAATCTGATGACACAAGAAATTCAACTTGGAGCTGTGTAATATTTCTCACTACAAAGCCAAGTATGTAACATTTTCTCATGTCGTAGTAGAGGAATATGTATTTCCTGTCCTCAAATCAACTTCAACAAATTAATGATAAGACAATGAATGGCTTACAAGATCTGATCAAAATAGATAGACAAATTCTAAACATTTGATTATACTATGCTGATTAAGATAAAAGTGTATGGCAAACTAGGTAAAGCCAAGGAAACAACCATTAAGTCACAGACTAAATATGCCTCATTACCCAAAAAATTAAAGCTGAGATGTACATGTTGTTATCAAAACTCTAACAATGTAAACCCAGCATCATAAATGTGGGAAAAAATTTTGTAAGTGTTGTTCTTGACATACAGGTTAGAAAAATGTAAAAAAAAAAATCACAAAAGACTACATACAAATTAGACATACTCTCATAAATTAACCAGATCAATATTATCGATATGTATACAAGTGTAAACATACACAGCTTTGAAGTGTGTTGATTATACATGTGTTTGGGGAGTTAACAAAATTCAGGAATTATTAACACAAGTTTTCACCATTTTTTTTTTGTAAATAATAATTATTAAATATCATGATAACTTCATTGACAAGTAAAACTACCTTTTTAAAAATTTCCATAAATAGGTAAAATGATATGGTTAGTCTCAGTCACACAGCGGTTATAAAACTGAGATATTATTGTTCCTAACTTTTAGAGTGGAAAATGAGAGTTCCTGAACCAACCGAGTTTGTATCAGCACAGCTCTGTTTACATATTTCTATCCTCTCACAGCTAAATTACATTCAGTATTTGTTTTCAATGAGTATATACACATTCCTGTCTATATGTAATATTTAAAAAAAATACTTCAATCTCAAGCATTCCAAGCCAAAGCCATCCTATACTGGCTGGGAAGGCCAGCAACCAAACTCTACAATACACCAAATGGAATGTGTAAACACAGGTGAGTCACCAAACACTATCACACCTTCCCATGATCATGAACTCATGCCATCATGAGCATCTATAGGATAATGTTGTGGGTATTTTGCCACATGTTGTTTCATGTCCTTCATTTGTTTCTGCAAGTGAGGAGGCACATCATCATAAACATCTGTGAACAAAAACTCCGGATTTGGCCGTTTCCTTTTTTCTGCTTTGGCAAATGCTTCCATTATCTGTTAAAAATGGAAAATGTGTAAATGTCAGAATTTTCAAACAACAAAAACTGCATCTATATTGTATATTGATGAAAACAAATTAAATAACATCACGAATGGGCTACATGTAAGACAAGAGGCCCATGGGCCTTAACGGTCATCTGACAAAAAGCAAGCCAAACCTAGAAAGTGGTTGAGGTCATTCATTTGAACAAACTTGGAAGCCTCTCCTCCAAGCATCTTACAGGCCCAATATCAGCACTCATGGACTTTTGCTTGTTGAGAAGAAGTCGTTTGTATATTTTAACATATTTGACCCCTGTGACCTTGAAAGTGGGTTGAGGTCATTCATTTGAATAAACTTGGTAGCCTTTCCTCCCAGCATGCTACAGACCCAATATCGGCACTCATAGACTTTTGCTTATTGAGATGAAGTCCTTTGTATATTTTAACATATTTGACCCCTGTGACCTTGAAAGTGGGCCAAGGTCATTCATTTGAACAAACTTTGTAGGGCTCCATGCCAGCATGCTATGGGCCAAGTATTAGCCCCCTAGGCCTTCTAGTATTTGAGAAGAAGTTATTTAAAGATTTTGACATATTTGACCCCTGTGACCTTGAAAGTTGTTCAAGGTCATTCATTTAAACAAACTTGATAGCCCTTCATCCCAGCATGCCACAGGCACAATATCAGCAATCTGAGCCTTTTGGTTATTGAGAAGAAGTTGTTTAAAGATTTTAACATATTTGACCCCTGTGACCTTTAAAGTGGGCCAAGGTCATTCATTTGAACAAACTTTGTAGGGCTCCATGCCAGCATGCTATGGGCCAAGTATTAACCCCCTAGGCCTTCTAGTATTTGAGAAGAAGTTATTTAAAGATTTTGACATATTTGACCCCTGCGACCTTGAAAGTTGTTCAAGGTCATTCATTTAAATAAGCTTGGTAGCCTTTCCTCCCAGCATGCTACAGACCCAATATCGGCACTCATAGACTTTTGCTTATTGAGATGAAGTCCTTTGTATATTTTAACATATTTGACCCCTGTGACCTTGAAAGTGGGCCAAGGTCATTCATTTGAACAAACTTTGTAGGGCTCCATGCCAGCATGCTATGGGCCAAGTATTAGCCCCCTAGGCATTCTAGTATTTGAGAAGAAGTTATTTAAATATTTTGACATATTTGACCCCTGTGACCTTGAAAGTTGTTCAAGGTCATTCATTTAAACAAACTTGATAGCCCTTCATCCCAGCATGCCACAGGCACAATATCAGCAATCTGAGCCTTTTGGTTATTGAGAAGAAGTTGTTTAAAGATTTTAACATATTTGACCCCTGTGACCTTTAAAGTGGGTCAAGGTCATTCATTTGAACAAACTTGGTAGTCCTTCATCCCAGCATGTCACAGGCCCAATATCTACACTCTGAGCCTTTTGGTTAATGAGAAGAAGTTGTTTAAAGATTTTAACATATTTGACCCCTGTGACCTTTAAAGTGGGTCAAGGTCATTCATTTGAACAAACTTGGTAGAGCTCCATGCCAGTATCCTCTGTGCCAAGTATTAGCCCCCTAGACCTTCTAGTATTTGAGAAGAAGTCGTTTGAATGAAAAGTTTACGGACGGCGCACGGCGGACGGCGCACGACGCACGGCGCACGGCGCACGGCGGACGACGACGGACGAAGCATGATGACTATAGGTCATCGGACCCTTCGGGTCAGATGACCTAAAAATGCATATTTATTGTTATGGAAAATTTTACAGCACAAACAAGTACAATAAGCTTTATATATGTAACAACAATTAAGAAGATAGCATTAAATGTAAATTGAAACTAAATTACTATTACTGAGAAGCTTACATCTTTTTTGGACTGCTCTTTCCATTGATTTTCCTTGTCATCATCCCACCAGCCCTGTTTATCTAAGTACTGGCGGAGGCGGAGGATTGGGCTTTGTACATCCCATGACTGGACTTCATTAAGCTGACGGTACATAGAGCTGTCGTCTGAGGTACTGTGGTGGCCAACCCTATGTAATTGTAAAGCAAAGTGAAAGTACAGATATGATGATATATAACCAAGTCCATGACATTGTATAATATAATCTATACTTTACAATAGGTCTACAGATAATTCTTATGCTGCATAACTGATTCTGAACGTTTCTAGCCTTTTTTTTTTTTTTTTTAAATATTTTACATCATGACTTAGTCACTTTAAATCCGAATTTCACTATGATTTACTTGTACCTTATACCCCTATATTCTATATATAGAACTGCAAGGACATTTGATATTTGGTCTCCTACCTGTATGTCATGGCCTCTATGAGGACAGGCTTATTCTCTTTAACACAGATCTCCCTTGCAGCCTTGGTGGCGTTGTACACTGCAAACACATCATTCCCGTCCACTCTGATTGTCACCATACCATACCCGACTCCCCGACTTGCTGATGGGTGACAATAATAGGAAATCATTATCTTTTGCATTTTCTACTCTAAAGACTTCTTTTATACTGATGTAAAATAAGTGAGAAATGATATTTTGTGTAAGAAAATTTAGGGCTTACTATGACTCAGAACCAACTAATATCAGGGGTATATCAACAGCGTTGGATAGGGAATGCCATGGTAGTGAAGACAATTCCAGATGAAGTATGCAAGGCTTAAACAATAAACTTCTTTTACAAATTATCTCTTTCAAAAAAATTTAAATAAACTAAATACTTACCTATTCCGTCACCTCGATATTGATCCTCTACAGGGGTAGAGATGGCATACCCATTGTTACGACTGAATAAAAAAGAAAAAAAAAAACTCTGTAACCTTACAATGTCTGGGTGACATAGTCTGTATTTCCATATCTATTTGTTTCCATGACACTGAAATGGTATCTTTCCTACAAATTCTAGAAATATTAGTAAACAAAAAAAATCTCTTATGCCTGCTGAAACCAATAAAAGGCCCATATGGCCTGTATCACTCACTTGGATTAGTTTGATGGAATTAGTTAATTTAAGCAAAATATTTATGAGCAATATGCCTAAATGTGAAATACATTTAAAATGCAAGATTCAACATGATCCAAGACATTACTGAATATAGAAGACAAACCAGAACTAAGTCCATTTCCATGTAACCTGAATGACTCAGACTCCAACTCTAAATCCATAAAACTAAACCAAATACACATGAACTCTGCTAGTACAGCTGTGAAACCAACCTGCTGAATGTTACCTTCTACCATGTGGAATTACTGCAGCATTGATGGGACAGGTTGTAATGTAAGCATACACCAGATGTGTATGGCATATTCCATTTTCTATGTCGAATAAGGACTTCATTATGAATTAAGGTACACTTACATACATTATAATGGCAGTTGTCAGATCAATCCCTAATAAAGTGTGTGTTCTTCCTGAACAGCCATAGAATTTCTAATTCTGCATGGCATGGAGTTCATAAGGACATTGACTTGACTGTCCATAAAAGAATGTTATTCCATTCCTCAGCAAGTACATTGGCCGATTGGCTAAGGTTATTTGGGATGTTTGCTCCATTTCAAACTCTTCTCTCTAAATTATCCCATAAGTCTTCAAATGGGGATAAATTCCGGCTATATGGAGTATGGAATCATGTTCTGAGTTGCAAGAGAGTCCCTACAAACTTTTGGAATGTGTGGCCTAGAGTCATGATGCTGAAAGGTCAAATGGTGCCTTATAAATGAAAGGCACAACACCAGGCCTCAGGTTCTCAATAGCATACAGCCATTAAATTCCTGTTCATGATAACTAAAGGTGTCTTTAAACCATGATTCCCTTTGCCCAAATTTGAATAAAATCCAATCATTCCTCCAGGAATAGTAGAATTTCAAAGAATTTGGTCTATTTCCTCTATTCCCTCCTGCACCCAAGGGGCAAAGAACGAAAATTTATAAACAAGAGGTCAATGGGCCTGCATTGCTCACCTGGCTAATTCAGTTATTCTGTCATTTAACAAAGAATTTAAAATATGACAAATAATTTTTGAAGTGACTCCCAAATGGGGCTTTGTTTTCAAATAGAAGTCACATGTGGACAATATACTTGTGAAGGATTTTCAAGAACTTAAAGTTCCCCTATTGGGCCACACATCTCTGATGTCAGACTCCTAGTTGATACAAAACTGACTCCCCTTCACCTATGTATGCTACAGACCAAATTAGAAGAACACTGTGATATTTCTACAGAAAAAAGATTTTAAAGAATTTGCTCTATTGATCCATCAATCCCAAGGGGCAGAAACCCTTTGATTTAAACAAATTGATTCTTATCCTCCCTCCAGGCATGAGCATACCAAATTGGGACAACATTCAGGCAGTCTTAGAGAAGAAGATGGATTATAGAGAATTTCCTCTTTTTCCCCTCTTGGGCCCTGTTCCTCCTTCTCAAGGAGGCTTAGGCACACCATTAATACAAAATTGATTCCCCTTCACCCAATAACAAATTAGATCAATTTTGGGCAAAATCCAATCATTCCTGCAGGAAGAGAAGGATTTTAAAGAATTTTCTGTATTTCCCCTATTGGAACCCATCCATCTGGTCCCAAGGGGCTCATACCTACCTTTTAGACAAATGAATTCCCTTTCCCCCTAAGATGCCTCTGATGAAATTTGGGCAAAATCCATTCAGTGGTTCATGACTAGTAGCTATTTGTAGGAAAAGTTGACATATAGATGAATGATGGATGCCACGTCATGCCATAAGCCATTTGGGCCAGGTTAAAATTTTTCTCTATAAGTATGTCATGATAAATCAGGTTTTTCTTTTCAGTTTGATTTTTCTCTTCAGCATTTTACTGGGTACTAAATTCAACAGATGATCAGATTTGAGAAGCTAAAATCAAGTCAGTGACTTTCATCTAAAGGACAAAATATTTCACTGTAATGCACGACATATTCATCCTGCCCAGGGGACCAAGACTTAAACTTTGACACATTAATTGTGTGAACTATGAGAATGAAATAACATTTATTAGTATTTTTACTAAACTACGGTAGACCTGGAAGGGCTTATTATGTATAATATAATTAATTATTAGGTAGAAAATAGTATTTTTGGTAAGAGAACAAAAATACCAGAAAAAGATGACAGGACAATCTAATGTTGCAGCAAAGTTCAGTGCAGCATGGGCATCCCCCTCCGACGCAGCTCCTTCTCCGAAGTAACAGATCACACACAATCCGTTCTTGGCACGCTTAAAAGCATAGGCAGCGCCGGCAGCTGTAAAAGGATAGGACCAATCATCAGTAATGAATTACATCATCAAGTTTACACGTAATTATCAACTTAATTATTTTTGTTTTATTGTTTTTATTTTAATTCTTTTTTAACTCTAATTTAATATGCTTCATAATATGTACAACCAGCAGGTAAATCAAACAGCTTAATTTCAACAAAATAAGTGAATAAGCATACTGGTAATTGAAAGACATGCCACATCACGAATGATTTGTCCAATTTAGAGACAAATCATATGTAAAATATCAATTAATTTAACCCATGATCTCACCTTGTGGCATCTGAGTTGCCAATGGAGATGAAATTGTAACAAAGTGGAGGTCACTAGACCCATAATGCACTGGCATCTGGCGACCTTTGCCTTTATCAAACATGTTGCCGTAGCACTGATCCATAAACTGGTCCAATGTAAACCCCCTCCACATCAGCACACCTGTTAACAATAGTGCCTATATAGCAGACTTCAACGAGGACATAGTCATCAAGATCTCCTGCCAATGTTCATTAGTAAAATATATACATTTTAAAGTGAGCAACATGGAAAACTGGAAAAGAGGTCAGTCAATCAGGTCACAGCAGCCTCATTAAATATGTGCAGAATGTGCTATTAATCAAACTTGGGCAAAGGATTAAGGTAACAAGTGTATCAAACAAGTTTCATCAATATCCTACCTGTCCTTCAAATGATACCATGCAGAAAGCAGCATCCGAGAATGATTAAAGAAATTAACCAATCAAGTCACAGCAGCCTCATTAAATGTATGCGGAATTTGCTACTGACTAAATTTGATCAAGGAATTAAGGTAACAAGTGTACCAACCAAGTTTCATCAAAATGCTACCTGTCTTTCAAAAGATATAATGTGGACAGCAGCATTCGGACGTCCTGATGTCCAGGAAGGACGAATGGATGGAACTCATTTGAACATCCCCCGCCAACTTTGTTGGGCGGGGGATAATAAATGGAAATGAAAACCACTAGTAAGTTTGAAGATGATACCATATACAGATGTAACATCAATAAAGACAAGCATACAATTAGAAAAAATCAATCTGTACTAGGAAATAAACATACAACATGATCTTGAAGGAGTGATAGACATGTCCTATGATAGTGAGATATGGTTTGTAACTGCCTGACCTTAATGTGATCAACAACAAAATGCATAACTTAATTTTCCATTTCAATGAATTTGGATAGGTAATTCCAATCAATATATCCAAGTGCAAATTATCAGGAAAAAAAATTTGGATGTGTCCTTTTTTATTTTTTTTGCAGGTTGTCAAAGTTGCTACCTGTAGCAATATGCACTAAAACATGGGAATTTCCTCAGCTTTAAATGCAATTTTTACACACAGCGCACAAATGTACCAATTTAAAGACAACTGAACCTAATCCAGTGTAATCAGATGTAACTTAAATCCTGTCCTCCAAAATTAATGCGCTGATACTGAATAACTGAAAAAAAATCAAATTTGACCAGAAATGTAAAAAGCTTAAGATTTCAATATTGCATAAGCAATTAAAATGTTGTCAATTTCTACATCAGTATCTATATATAACACAGATGGTAAGACTTGACTCCCACATGAGCAGAATTTTCATGGAGTTGCACATTTAATCATAGCTACCGACATCATAGTATTTTAATTTTTCATTTGTTTTCAATGCATATTTTTTTATATAAAATTAATTCTAGTGGCCAGTGTCCTTTAATTCATTAATATATGCATTGCAGAAATTACTGGCTAAACCCTGACCCATTATCTTTTGTGATGATGAATGCAGCCAATGAGTTACATGATAGTACTAGTGACATACAATGTAGAGTCCTACTTGATAGTGTTTGAGGCTTGGTAGAATGTCATCTCAATGTTCTATAAATCTTCAGGATTAAAAAAGTTCACACATTAAGGGGTAATTAGGCCACTGAATTGATATATTTTTTTTGCTTTTAATGGTACATTTCCCAATTTTAATCGTAATAAGGCCAGCAACATACATGGCAAACACAGCAATTGTTAGACACGATATAATCCAAATGCATGTTTACTTGTTATCATTAGTCATGTATTTTTAGATCAAATGAGGTGATGAACTGAAAAAGGTGTTCCATCACTGTAAAGCACCAAACCTCTTTCTCTATCCATACATTACTAGAGCAAACACATCAAAGGATAAAAGGAATATCATTGACACCAATCTTAGTGAAAATGATGACGTATAACACTTAAGCCTTGCATGCAGCACTCTTATAAAATCCAATGTAGTCTGCCTGTTAGTGGCTTTTTTGAATCAATGATGGCTTTCATGATGAAGTAGACACAACTAGGAATTATTCATGCCATATTTCATCATGATCCTTTTGATACGTTTAAAGAAATATTCAGTAAAGCAGTCTGGTGGAAATTTTGCATTTCTGATTTGTCATGTGCAATTATGAAGTAGGACCTTACAGATGTTTCATAGTGGTCCCTTATTGCAAAACCACGACAAAAAAAAAGAGGAAGACTGATAGAATCACGAGGACTTGGCAAAAATTCTAAACCCACAGTCCATAATTTTATATGTATCAAATGGATTGTCAGTTGGGATTGGTGTTAAGTCCCTGTGAATTGAATGATACATCATGTTGAAAGTGTTTTGAATGACCCTACCTAAAATATGTTTTTTAAGTTATCCAAGAAAAATGTGTTTAACCTACCAGCTTCTCTATACTGTCCAAACACCAAATCTTTAGGGTCGAGAGCAGCTGCTGATCCCATGTGAGTACCTTCTTCTCCATAATTGGTCATATAAAAAGATATTCTTCCTTGTCTTTGAGATTCATATAGGATATGATCCATTGTGTTCAACAATGTCATATCTCTGTACATCTTCACAACTGTGTCTTTATCCAGCTAAAACAACATTGTATACAAGTAATATCAATTGAAAGCTCAATATCATACAAACATTTCAAAGTTTATAATACATAATGTGTAATTACAATGCATTTCCAGACACAGTATGACTATGGTCACTTAACAAACCAAAATTCTGCATGTAACTATATTCTGAAGGTTAACATCAGCCATTTTCTCACCAAATAATTTATTAATAGTCATGGATTATCAAGTTTACAGTCGCAGTCAATGTTTTGTTAATGAAAGAAGTTGGAAATGGGAGGCAAAAACTGCTTTAATTTAATCAACAAGATCATATCTTAGAAAAAAAACCATTTTCCTCTTCTTCCTTGGATATTTCTAAAATCAATTTCCAGCCTACATGATGTTGAGGCACTCGGACACAGTGTTGGCTATGGATGTGGTGTTTCGTGCAACATAGAAAACAATGATTCAAATACAGAGAATACAGAGGTCTATACTAAAGGAGATGATTTTTAATGAAAAATGGTAGTTATACATCCTTCTAAGTGCTGATGATATTTAATCTTTGACCCAGTGACACTACAACTTCCAAATGCATATACATATACAAATGTAACCAAAAAATGATGATTTTGGAGAAAACTGGCAGATTCGCTACTTCAAAGTGTTGATAACCTTTGACCCAGTGCCCTAAAAACCTAGTGAACAAAATATTTGCATCAACGTTTACAAATGCCTATACTTGTACCAAACCTTGACAGTTTTCAAAGGCATTGGTACTTTATTGCTGTTCTGGTATTTTGGCGCCACCCTTAATTGCCCTACCGCTAGAGACTAGAATATTTTGTAATCACTAGAGCTACTCTTTAACATTACAACCATATCAAGCAATTATTTCATTTATGTCTCCCAAAAGCAAAAAAGATTTTTTCAACATTCTTTATCACTGTTCAAGCCCATTTATTGTAAGCCTCTGAGGTGAGTGGACCACAAAATTTTCATGTTCCTTTAGGTACTGATGCTAGTGATTGTGTTTAATATTAATTGTCTGAGCAGTTCTTGAGAAGAATCTGAAAATGTTTGAAGTTAATGGATGACACAACGACAGACAAGACGATGGAATGGGTCACCAAGAGATTTTGGCTTATGGGACCTCAAAAGATATAAGAAGTAATTTGCATTCAAAATTCTTCAATTGCCGAGAAATTTATTTTTAAATGTTTAAAAAAAAAAAACCGCATGATCAGTATAAGGTAAACAATCATCCTTCTTTTCACACAAGTAAGTGTGGTCTGAAAAAAGTTTTGCTCCCTCCCTCTTCCAGAAAATTACTTTTAGATGATTACCAAATACACCATAGGTCAAGTTACAGCAATATTTTGTAAAGTCATAAGACACTACCTTTATATTCCTTATTCATAGGGACAGCATGATAAACATTTTGGTAATATTCAATTTGTTTTCAAAGATCTTCATGCAAAATTTGAATAGGAAATGATGCAATGGTTACTCACCTTTGGATCCTCTGATTCAAATAGAAATTCTCCATTTCGCATCACGCTGTAGACAGGGATACCTTCAGCATTTTCTGGGATAATGAACTCACATTTGTGCATAAATTTTGATCGACATCCAGGAAAGTTAGGCATGTCATTTTTCTGTGGAGTAAAACAATTTCAAAATAAGATTTTTAAAAGTTTAAGGTAAATGAATAAGCTTTTATACCAGTATCGATGAAAAACTTCTGAAGAAAAATTTCACCATTTTCCTCCTTGACAAGACTAAGAGATTTGTATTAGAAAACATGCCAAACAGCACATAGTTTGGACCACAATGCTATCACTAATCTAACTTTATTACAATCAGTTTTTACCTTCATTATCTTCAGCTTAATTAATATAACAAACATGCACACACACAAAAAAAAAAAAAAAAACTAATTTGTAGGTCAATTTCACACAAGCAGTTGAGGTGGTTGGACTTACAAGTAAAATGCCAGGCATAGTTATTCAACAACTTAAACTTGCCTATCTATACAAGTTTTTGAGAATTTTTACATAATTTTACATGATAAGAGCATGCACATACTTCAGGAAATGCTATAATACATGTATTCAGTGTGGGTTAAAATGAAACATATTTTATAATTGGTTCATTGTTTTATATATCAAAGGGAGTTCTAAAACATATTGAGCTTTATCTTAAACATAGTTTATTGCTTCTACAACAAGCAAGGATTGGCCACAAGTTATGATAATTTTAATAACTAATAGAATCCCTCTCCTACACCATTTAATTCAACAATGTGAAAGGTTACATATAACATTCCAACATTCAGTACCGGTGCATTTGTTTATAAAATTATTATAATAATAATATTAATATAAAATAATTTTATGCTGTTTGGACCATTTCAGCCAAGTTACTCAAAAACAGTCACAGTTATAATATGTCTATTAAATCTCTTCTTTTCTGGTCAACTATAATGTACACTTAAAATTTGTGAATTAGCATCAACAGGAATTTTAATTATTGAAATTGGATTTACAATGTATTTTACAGGCAAGAGTATGAAATATTCACAGTTTGTTTAGATACCATAGTAATATATGATGTAGGAAAAATAACTTTTGAAGAGAGAAACTTCGATTATTTTCATTATCAACTATACTATAGACAGAAACTATAGACAGAAACGTAACATTTTTATTAATTCCCAATTTACAGAATTTATGTTATTTCCACTTCCCTGGGCATCCCATAATTGAAAATATGACACGGCAGGTTCATTGTAACCTACTTGTATATCAAAACATAAAGTAAGATTGAAAAAATTGCAGTCATTGCAAGATTTGTTTCTTATTTGCATGCTACGAAAGTCAAAACAAGGGGAAGTTACTCTTAATTGGCACCATTACGAATGTTACATATCAGGAAAGTAGCAAAAAGTGTTGGATGTTATATACACTTACGGGAGTTCTCAAAACAGCAGCTGAATGAAATCTTCTAATATTTCGGGGGTAACGCCGTACTTCCCTTAAACATCGGCACAGTCGTGCAAAGCACCTTGTTGTTGCCATTTCTGAGATGACAGAATGTGGACTACGTCATCATTTATGCGGTCGTTGACGAACTACACAAGTGCATCTATTCTCAGCTTCCGTTTCGATGAGGGCAGACTGTTGTCATACTCCACTGTTATTATGAAGATTGTGTATTTTTGAACGGTTTGCCATGACCATGTGTTAAAGCGATACAATTAGTTGGTAATGGAGTCGATGAAATCTCTCTGAAATTGATAATTTTACAGTACATAATAATATTCGCGAGGACAGCGAATGACTCATCGTTGAAAAGGGGACTGTCATTCCTCTGGTAACTTAAGATACGATGTAGTTGCACTAGTACATCATGAGTTAGCGATTTGATTTTGTATGGCGTATTGTCATTTTCTGTATTGAAATTTGCTTTTTTCTACAACATCAGGCCAACAGGTCGTAATTGACGCTCATTTTATATTTAATTATCTCAGGAGAATTCAAAACAACGGATATGGCACGGGAACCAATTATTGTAAATGTCTATGATATGGTAAGTATTAAAAAGTTCAATCTATTGTTTATGCTATTCCTGGAGACTTCATTGTTTATGGCATATCAGTCTAGCACTGACCATTACTTTCTAGCTCCTTGCAATTTGTCACCTTTAATCATGATTATTACATTAAGTTTTAGTTACGAATCTTCCGTTATTTTCACAAATAAAAAAAAAACAACAAACAAACAAACATAAACTAGTTACTTGTGTTATTTTTTAAGCCGCTCTATTGTACAGTAGGCAGTGTAAATATGCAACTATATTGTATAACCACAATATGCTTCCATTCGTAAAATTTACCATCATTAGTTAAAGGTGCAATTGTCAGGCTGGCTATAGACATAGACTAGTGGGGATATGTCTTTGAGTCTAGATATTTACTGATTTGAACTGCTTTTCTCTGTAGCTAATAATTGATAAATGATTGGACACCAATTTTTAACATTCTACATATAGTAACAGAAATGATTTTAATAAGATTATTACAAATTGAGTAAATTTTCTCAAGACATGTTTCTATGTTGTAAGAGTTGTGGGCTCAAAGTGTAGCTCACAGGAATAGCATGGCACCTATTTCAGATTCACTATAAAGGTTTTATAGTACATTATATTTTTTTCTTAAGCTTGGTGTTGAGCTTTACATTTGATAAATTAATACATTGACAATGTGATTTTTAGTATTGGATCAATGAGTACACAACCAACTTAGGAATTGGAGTGTTCCATGCTGGAGTAGAGGTGTTTGGAGTAGGCAAGTATTCACAGAGAAATCCCGGTCATCAGTACATCATGTCTTCTCTCACAGCAATGGAAATGATTGTCATCAATCATAAAGCATGATTGTATCAATTAATTCTGCATTAATTCTCATTGGTAAAAGGTGAAAAAAAAATATCAAAGATCTATCACCTTGTTGATAAAACAGATCAGATTAAGAGATCAAAAAAATCAGATCTTATGCCTTCATATAGTGAAAATAAAATTTAAAAGAGATATTTGTATAAAGATATTATTTTCTAACAACTCATTTCTAGGTCGCCTTAATTCAGGAAGGTTATTGGTACATGTTTACAGTATAACATTTACTATGCAGTTTACTTGTACAAACGCATAATATATATTTATATATGTGTGCACATTGTTACAGAATACGGGTATGGAGGTCACCCACTTCCCATGTCGGGTATCTTTGAGATCACTCCCCGGGATGCAGAGGACTTGGGAGAACAGTTCAAGTTTAAGTAAGTTGAATCAATATATTCATGCATGAATGAAAAGAAAAAAATCATTGTTGACGTAGTAAGCCTCTCTGCCAATACGTTGCTTCTGCTTAAAAGTATTGATGAAGTTTTTTGTTGACTCCATAAACTGAATTTTATTTCAACCCCTTCATAACAGAGGATTCTTAGGGAATATATAAAAGTTAATTGTATTCAAAGAAAAGAAGAGTGACATGTTTGTAAATTGCTGTACAGTTTATAATATATGGAAATTTTCAGAGAATCAATTCACATAGGAACAACAGATTTCATGCCCGAGGATGTAAAGAGAATTGTTGAGCAACTTGGCAAGGGTTTCCGTGGCGACCGCTACCACCTGCTGAATAATAACTGCAATCATTTTTCATCATCACTGACCCAGGTAAAATCTTCAGGAATAAAGAACTCTCTTACATTCAGATATGGTATATCACTGATACAGGTAAAAACTCATGAATGTAGATAACAATATACTGGTCCAGTGGTTTTTGGGAATCAGATATTTCATTCCAAGATTTACTGGTATGCTTTTCCTGCTGAACTCTATAAATACATTTTGAGGACAAATTACATCTCTAAGTAATTGGACTTGTTAAGGTTAAGGAAATTGTATTTTTGACTTTCCTGAAAAATAATCAAACAAATAGCTCCTTCACAATATATACCATAGTGGTTTAGATTCAACTCTGATGCATAATAATTAAATCTATTTTTCTTTTCTTATGAATTGTGTATAGATTTATTTCAACTCCATAAGATTACTCGTTGAGTTGTTTCCTTTCCCATTAATGATTTATTAGTTTATTTTCAATTTGTAACAGATTCTGTGTGGAAAAGAGCTACCCAGTTGGGTTAACAGACTTGCATACATCAGTACCTGTATTCCGTTCTTGGAGCGGGCCTTACCAAAGGAGTGGCTTACCCCTGTAGCCTTACAGGCCGTGATACAGGAACCTATACCAGACAGGGAAACACAGCCCAACTACTCAGACCCCTCAGAGCATATACACAATCGTCGTCTATAGAACCAGCTGTGTACTGGCAATGCAAATATATTTTGTTTATACAGGAAAAAAATATTCAAACTACGCAAATATAGAATATGGGTCACTATTTTGTTATGTTTATTTATACAAATATATGATGGATATTTAAGAAATCTCAAAATAGGAAACAGCTTTAAATCTCTTTTCTTTATTGAGATGATTCTCTGATGAAATGTTATTATCATGTATATTTCATTATACTAATCAAATCAGGATAAACATTACCTTGCTTGGATGAATGTTGTCTCAAGAATCACTTAGTAAATTTGTTTGGCTCTTTTGGTCCTTTCATTCAAATGGTTATCAGCCTAATATATTTTGCACTCAATTCAGAATAATTGCTTTGTTGCCACAGTATTTATCAGACGTTTTCCAGTATTTGACCCATCAGTTATTAACTTGGACCATAGCTGTATAAAGATGTGGATATTTATTTGAAGTTTCATAAATGAAAAAATCATTAATGTGAATTTAATACATAGAATCAATTTCAACTCAAAGGTTGTTAGTTAAGAGATTGTTTTGTTAAGAAAAAGTAACAATGGTGAAACCAGCGATGTTAATCATTCTTATTGGGCGTGATTAAAAAGTGCTAGAAGTCTTAGTATGGCAAGAAACCAGATTAGCCTTAGGTAAAAGGCAAGTGTGCAATCACTGCCACTTGACCACTAGCCAATAGTGCTTCAATATATGCTTCATTTGACTTAATGAAATAAAACAGACACAATTATTTTCTAATTATTATTTTGAGCAGATATGTAAAATGACTATACATATTATTCTCACCCTTTCACACAATGATTCACTATATGAAAACATTTTTATGCTACTTTTCCTGTCTGTCTAAAGAGGTGTAGAAGTCTCTGAGAAACATGGCTTGTGCCATAGTTATGTAAACATGTATGAAACAGTGGACACCTTGACATACATATTGTGTAATATTGTTTGTAAGGAAAACAATGCTATCAGAGGTAATTAGTTTTCAACATCTTAAGCAGATTTAGCAGAACTGAATTTTGTTGAATTCTAAACACAGTACATAGTATCTAGCTGGAGCATATGATGCAAAATTGAATCATCATGATTAGCAAAAATGAGTACTTTGGTCAATATCATTGATAATTATGAGTATCAAACAGTACTGCACCTTGTAATTGAGGTACAAATGTATTCTGCAGTACTTATTCTTTTGTTATAACAAATAATAACTGATAATTTCTTTGTTCTGGATTATTCTTTCCATCTCATCTTATTTTTTCCATACTATAGGCTTAATGTTGAATATTTTAATTTCACACAAATCAATAGGTTACTGGTATGTCTTTTAAAGGGTTTGGTTGTATGATAGACATAAACTACACATTGAATATTTGAATTATTTATCCTCCTTTACAAACAAATGTTAGTTTTTCTGTTGAAGTGCTATGTTATACAGTGTTTTTATTCTCAAATTTTGAATGTGAAAATATGAATTATGAATAGTAGTAAATTGTGCCATCATTGTATGGAATCATTGATTTTTCTGATTAGGTCAAAATGATTGCAATTGTTGTCATCATGATTACATCATTCCATGAATTATGTAAATCTGGAAATATTTGAACTGACAAAATAAAGAAGTTATGGAATAAAATCCTGTAAACTAAATGTGATAACTGAAATATCAGTCACTTAAGATATTGAACATCAAATCATTAAAAAGGAGAAACAAGAGAAACTGATTTATTAAGTAGAAAAATGGCATGAAATTTCCAGATTTGTAACATTTGTTAAAATCATACATTTTGTTGTTATAATACAATGACATCTTTGATACTGCTGCTGTACATGAAATTCTACAACTGTCTCGATGAAGAATAAATTTTATATTACATTATAGCATTCTGTCATACAATGATGTATATCATAGTACCTTCATATTTGCCTGTAAAAATGACCCAATGACAGTGTTGTTTTAAAATATTCACTGTATAAACTACCCTGTCTAAATGTGGTCAAATTCTTGTAAAACCAATGTTTTGTTGGGAGAATGATGCACTAGTATGGTGTATATATACCACTCTTTTATTATGAGTTATCTCCATTTAAGTGTTGATTAGTTTTGAAATGCAGCTTCATTTAATGGGTCTGTTGTCTCTGTTACATCAGTGTTGTTTTATTACAAATACAGGATGGAATGAGAGTGACCTAGATGATTCAAAAGTAGGTTACAAACAAATTTTCTGTGTTGTAATGTTGTGATGCCTCAACACTTGATGATGAAATGTTCGGGAGACTGTATCAGTATTGTTTGTTTCTGTACATAAATTTTGTTGTGTTGTAAAATAAACACTTCATTCGAGTTGTGGGATACTGAGGTGATATCACTGAAACATGTTTATAAAATAGTAAAATTGCTGCTGAATAAACAGTAATGTGAGTACAATCAGCTTGTATCCACTCATTTACAAGGCTATGCATATTATGTTACATTTGCTTTCTCTGTGTTGAGATTTAGCTCGCTATGCCTAATTTGAGCCACATGTCAGAATTGTACGGCTATGGTCAGGGGGGTTTTATTTAGCAAAGATATGACACAGAAAGATTTTAATGTAGATTCCAACGGGTATGCTGTGTTAAGCTGGCAATAAGCTCATGCCTGGTGATAAGCCCACCAACGCTTATTGAAGTAGAAATACCAATAAATGCCATATCATTGGTCTTGAATAAACCCACCTCTCTGCTATCATGCTTTGGCCCTTCCTGGGTATTGCATGATAAATGCTATAATTGCAAAGTTTTCACTATACTTACAACACAATATGCCTGTATACTTTAATACTATACAGTGTATATTGTGTTCAAGTTTTGTTTTTGTCACTATTTAGTCATCAATCTAACTGTTTGTATAGAATGTTTTTCAAAAGTTTGAATGTCATTGCATATGGTTGTTAGGTTTGGTATGACCATTTAAAAATGGCTGGAGAATTGAAAGCTAGGAAAACGGTATAGATGTGTAATGTGACTGCATACTGTTATACTTGGTTTCCAGATTAAACAGTTTAAGTGAGGTTGGCAAGAGCATGTATTGCTGCTGTAATTGTGCTGTAATTGTGCCTAAAATATTTCATGTTTTCTTTCTATAAGTAATTGTTTACTGTTGTTTGTTTGTTTGCTTGCATTTTGTTGGTAAAAAATTGATTATTAGTGCAACAGCAATATCTTGAGGAAAGTGCTAACATTTTCTAGTATAAATGAGCCTCTCTGTTTCTGTAAAAACAGCATGCTTCAATCCACGCTCTTTGTAACCTGCATTAGAAACTTCAAAATGTTGTGAACCTTGTTCATACTGGTGATCAAAGTTCTTTTTTTATTGTGTATATTCATTATTTTATCTTGCCTATCAAAGCATATTTTTTGTTATAAGTGCTTAAATATGTTACTTTAAATTCTTTTCTTTCAACGATTCTCCACACAATTGCTTTTTTTCCCCACCATAATTTGATTGGTTCACAAAAAAAGTATAGGGGAGTTCATACAAGATCTGCCATACAAGTATCTCAGTGGACAAGAAAACTTCAGTGATCAGTAGAGGTGTCAAATTGTTATTGTTTTCTTATTGTTTTGTTATAACTGTCATGTTTGTGACATAAATTGTACATAGATTATATACATATATTGCATACCTATACATATGATGTATATTTAGGTTGACTTGAGCATAATGATGACAACTTCCCCTCCACTAGTCTACATTTTAAGGGAGAATTTGTATATCATAAGGAATTCCATTATTTTACTGGTTTTTCCTTGATCTATTTTGCAAGGATTGATTGTGAGTCGCTGTAAAATAAGCCTGTGTAACTGATGAGCTTATCATAATGCTTTAGAACTTTTTATTAGAATGCTGATTCATGCAGATATTAGTTCAGTTGTTAAATTTCATATGAGGACTGCATGTGTGTCATACTTTACATTACCTTTGTCCTTAAGAATCATCCTCACATTGTCTGTTTCATGTAGTATCATCCTCACATTGTCTGTTTCATGTAGGATCATCCTCACATTGTCTGTATCATTTAGGATTGTCCTCACATTGTCTGTTCCATGTACTGTGATCCTCATATTATCTGTAATATGTAGAAATAATATCCTAACATTAACTGTACCTTGTAGGATCATCCTCACATAGTCAGTATCATGTAGGATCATCTGCATATTATCTGTAATATTTAGGATTATCTTCACATTATTTGTACTGTGTAGGATCATCATCACTTTTTCTGAATGATGTAGAATCATCCTCAAATTGTCAGCCTCCTGAAATATCATCCTTGTCTACATGGTGTAGGATCATCATCTTCGCATTGTACCTGTAGGATCGTCCTCACATTGTACTGTAGGATCATCCTCACATTTTACCTGTAGGATCATCATCCTCACATTGTACATGTAGAATCATCTTCACATTGTACCTGTAGGATCATCCTCACATTGTACTGTAGGATCATCCTCACATTTTACCTGTAGGATCATCTTCACATTGTACCTGTAGGATCATCCTCACATTGTACCTGTAGGATCATCTTCACATTGTACCTGTAGGATCATCCTCACATTGTACTGTAGGATCATCCTCACATTGTACCTGTAGGATCATCCTCACATTGTACTGTAGGATCATCCTCACATTGTATCTGTAGGATCATCTTCACAATGTACCCGTAGGATCATCTTCACAATGTACCCGTAGGATCATCTTCACAATGTACGCGTAGGATCATCTTCACAATGTACCTGTAGGATCATCTTCACAATGTACCTGTAGGATCATCTTCACATTGTACCTGTAGGATCGTCATCACATTGTACATGTAGGATCGTCCTCACATTGTACATGTAGGATCATCCTCACATTGTACTGTAGGATCATCCTCACATTGTACCTGTAGGATCATTCATACATTGTACCTGTAGGATCATCTTCACATTGTACCTGTAGGATCATCCTCACATTGTACTGTAGGATCATCCTCACATTGTACCTGTAGGATCATCCTCACATTGTATCTGTAGGATCATCTTCACAATGTACCCGTAGGATCATCTTCACAATGTACGCGTAGGATCATCTTCACA